TGAAATTTAAGTTTATAACCCAAAGATCTCGGTTCCTTTCGATATTCGCGCATATCAGACCGTAACTTCCTGAATTATGGCCCCTGATTGTACGAAAAATCGCGTTTTTAGCTTGTGGACCCTATAGAGGTCATAATTTTTATCCGATTTAAAAAAATATATTATTATATCACCGTTACACCCTAAGGATGGCTGAGTTCGAATTTCGTGAAAATCGGCCCAAAATTGATAGACAAAATGGCCGCCGTTCGTTCTCAAATAGCGTAAAAATATGGTATATCAAGGTTGTGGACCCTATAGAAGTCACAATTTTTCTCCGATTTTGTTGAAACTTGAAATGTAAGTTTATAACAAAAAGATCTTGGTTCCTTTCGATATTTGCGCATATCGAATTGTAATTTCCTGAATTATGGCCCTTGATTGTAGGAAAAATCACTTTCTTCTTAGCTTGTTCTCTATCCATCTCTCGAAAATGTGGGCGTATCCTGCCTGGCAGCCGCTGGTTTTGTCTTAAATATTGGATATCAGAAGCCTGCCTTTTCCTGGTAAGATCACAACATCAATGTTGATTTGAATTGACAAATAATTCGTATTTTCAACGTGTAAGACTTTGTATGATATTGAGTTAGAGACTTAGCTACTTTAAGTCTTTAAGATTTTTCTTTTTCGAAATTTTTCTCAGTCGCGAACTTTTGAGGTACCGTAGCCTTCATGCAGACCTATAGTAGAAGTTGATATCGCTTCAATATTCAAGGATCTAATAATATTAGATGGACGAGAGCTGATCATGTCAGTACCATCTTTAGACTTGGAGCATTTTGGTGGTCACATACTAAAATAGTCTGACATTCTTCTATCGGACTTTGAAGAAGGCTGTTCAATTTTTCGCCTACGACCCATGGCATGTCATTTGATGATAACTGACTTTTGACACCCCAAAGAATATATACGCAATTATAAACTGTAACAACAAACCTGGCTTCATTTATTAACGATGTGGGCAACAGGAGTAAGAAAAGGATAAAACAGACGTCATAATTCAATAATCCCAAACAAATCGAACGAGTAATATTCAATATGTAGAAACCGTCAAAATATCCACCGATTCGTATTTGAAGACAAATAATTAAATCTTTTGTCTCTTAATTAGTTTATTACTACTCTTACTGTAAATACTAATCAACACTAATCCAAGATATCTTTATTATTGGCACCTAATTGATTGATAACTGGCTCAGCCATGTGCAATAGACTGTAATGTGTATGCACGGCGTGGAAATAAAGTTTTGTGGCAAGAAAAATTTATCACCATGGTTAAAAAAGAATCGCCATACAGGAAAATGTTATCGTCAAAAATTTCGCCAGATTGAATATTTTATCGCCAAAATTATATTTTTATCGCAATTGGCGGCAATGGCGATCGACAGTGTGAGCGCTGATGTTTAGGATGAGAGCACACCCCTTTAATATAATTGTGCCAACTTTTACTAATAATATTTGGAAAGCTTAATCAATTATCTTTCAGAATATATATAGCTGGATGCTCAGAATTTTGTATGATGATCCGAATTTGGACTTCCCCAAAAAATACTGGTTTATCCTTACATTTAGAATATTAAAAAATTGGCTATGTTCAGGTTGAGGGCGCGCCCCTTTAATATCATTATGCCAAGTTTTACTAATAATATTTGGAAAGCTTATTCAATTACCTTTCATAATATATATAGCTGGATGCTCAGAATTTTGTACGATGGTCCGAATTTTGACCCGGTATATTACTGTTCTTTCACTTTAAAATATTGAAAAATTGGCGACGTTTAGGATGTGAGCGCACCCTTTTAATATGATTGTGCCAACTTTTACTAAGTATATTTGGAAAGCTTATTTAATCACCTTTTAGAATATATATAGCTGGGTGCTAGGAATTTTGTACGATGGTCCGAATTTTGACTCGGGGATATTAACGGTCTTTCCCTTTAAAATGTTTAAAAAATTTACAACGTTTAGGATGAGAGCGTTCCCCTTTAATATGATTGTGCCAACTTTTACTAATAATATTTGGAAAGCTGAATCAATTATCTTTCAGATGTATATAGCTGGATGCTCAGAATTTTGTACGATGATCCGAATTTGGACTTCGAAAAAAATACCGGTCTATCTTTACATTTAGAATATTGAAAAATTGGCTATGTTCAGGTTGAGAGCGCGCCCCTTTAATATGATTGTGCCAACTTTTACTAATAATATTTAAAAAGCTTATTCAATTCCCTTTTAGAATATATTTAGTTGGATCATCAGAATTTTGTACGATGGTCCGAATTTTGACACGGGATATTAACGGTCTTTTCCTTTAAAATTTTTAAAAAATTGGCTATGTTTAGGATAAAAGTGCACCCCTTTAATATGACTGTGCCAACTTTTACTAATAATATTTAATTACCTTTCGGAATATGTTTAGTTGGATGTCCAGAATTTTGTGAGATAATGCGAAATTACACCTATATTCTGAGCTAAAGGAATGGATAAAAAATAATATATTCTACTTTCATTTGATAGACGTAACGTTGTATTTTATTGGTTGATAAAAATAGATGCGTTTCGGCGACTGTTGGCATAATTCTGAATAGGTTGCCAACGAACAGGTTGGCCAGCTGGATCGGTCGAATAGGTGGCTAGCCGAATAGGTCGCCAATTCGTGTTCGGTCCAGACAGTAGTGGTCAGTGGATCGTTCTAAGCAGTTCCTTTGAGCAAATTTTTTAGTAAAATGTTACTGGCCTATAGCTCCCTTAATTCCCACATAAACTGACGCGAAACTGTACTGCGCACATAGCCTAACATATAATAAACCAATTCCCATTGAAATAAAGGTGAAGCCTTACCGCATAATTATATGATTTGATGAAACCCAACTGCCATCCAACTTAAGCAAGTTAAATAGCATGCGCACTCCATCTCACGTGATTATACGTTACTTACCATATATGGCATTCATGGTAAAAAAGCGTAGTAATACTGCCTTATAATAGAATATAAGAAATATCACTCCGAAAATGTAGAATGTATTACCACAAAGAAAAACTGTTTGGTAACTATTTTAGTGTCCCAGTCTTTACTATTTGTGATAGAATTACTTATTTCAGTACAAACTGTAATGATATGTGTTGACAATTGTGTGTTTGAACCTATTTGTACTTGTGTATGGCCTCTTAGGCGGTATCATTTGTATTTGTAGCGTAGTGCTAAATACTGTTTAGCGCGACAATATCGTATCTAAGAGCTAAGATTGCAACCTGCTCTGATGTGTTGTATGCTCTGTCTGCGCAGATTAGACACTGCATGCACTGATTGTAATCTACACTTTTCAAACTGGTGCGCAGATTGTCAACTTTGCACTGATTACTCCTCGATGTTTTCTAAAGATGAAAGTAGTGTGTCAGACATTCCATGTACAACCTTTGTACTGTAATGATTTTTCAAATAATTTTCAAAATCACTGTACTACAATAATTAGTGTGTGTATTCTAAGAATAAGATTTAAATTTGAGTCCACAGTATTTCGTAATCTTCGTTATTTATAAATTATATACGTCAACTGATCATGTGACTGAATGGGATGGGACGAAAAAATGGATCCCATGTACATATTGGCGTGCACATAAAAGATCCCTAGGCAGTTGGAATTTGATATAAGAGTAGGCCGTAGAAACTGCTGTCTGGGCAAAATTTCCCTCATAGCACCCTGCATGGCGTATGCCCGTCTTCCTTAGCCCAGTTGAATCAGAACAGTAGTATGTTAAACATCATTTCATTTCATTTATTTTTGTATGGTATGTTGAAATAAATACATTTATAACAAACAGTTGATGGATTTTTAAATATTTTATCAAAGTGCAATGTACATGTTTTCAATTCTCGTTACTGTTTCTTCCTTTTACAGGACAATATTTGTGTCAGAGCTGTCTAGTCATTCGGATGGGATGAAAAACTGAGGTCTAGTGCTGCTGTCTAGGCAAAATTTCCCTCATAGCACACTCTATGGCATATGCCCGTCTCATTGACCCAGTTTGGAGCAGAACAGTAGGACGTTAAACTGTTAAACCCTATTTCATTTGTGTCAGCCATTATCACATATATGTGATAGAACTGGTTAGACATATTCCAAATATAATTTTAAGACAGAGATCATTGCTTCGATGGATGCGTAATGAAGATTTGAAGAAACGAAAGTGATGAAAGCAAAAGGAAAACTAGTATAATATTTACAAAATATATAATGAAAATGGAAAATATTGAAAATTTCAGTCAAATTACTTCATTCTGAGCAAAGTCATGGTTCTTTGAAGAAGGGTGTAGTCTCAATTGTCATTGCTACTATTAAGATAATAAACAGTTTCGATTATCATGTTTAATCAATTGAAAATCGCAACCGTCCGATTGTCTAGAGAGTTGCTTATGGATTTTGCATGTGAATAAATGTCTAATTAATGATTTATATAATTATATAGCATTTGAGGCCAAACGAAAGATCTGCAATATGCAGATTTATTTTTTACATAATGCATCTTTAATCTTATCTAGTTTATCGACTCTCGAGATCAGAATGCTATTGCAATCCCTCAGCCAACCACCTGATTATTTCCCAAACTGGCTTATCTTCACCATCTGGAAAACTTGCTGAACTAATGCACATTAACTTAGTACTAACTATATTGACAGCTCTGATTGGTTGGATCTGATCTGATCGACGTGCATACAGTTTACCTACTCAGAAAACTTGTTAAAGTACTGTACTTTATGGAATATTATTTTTGTCCCCCGTGAACATTTTATGCTTAGACTTAGTATAGATAATCTGTTTGATTGCTCAATACTTTTGAAAAAGATAAATGTGCAATTAATCAGTTTATTTTGGGATTATGGCGGGGGACATCAGCCTCACTGTTGGCTTGTGTTTTAAATTATAGTCTCTAATGGTTAACTGTATTTATTATATTTTCAGAATGGATCAGTGGAATCAACAACAGACAAACTTTGTTCCAAAAATACAACAATTTAATATTGGTCCAGCAACAACTACAGATAGTACCAATAATCGTTATATACCAAATGTGACTCAAAGTACAATTCATAATCTACCAGTAAATCAAGTACAGTTTGGACAAGGACAAATTCTAAATACAAGACAACCGTTCCTGGTGCTTCAAAATCCTGCTCAGAATACTGGAAATGTTCTTAATCAAAATCAATCTGTCCAGTATCAAATTAATCACCAGTTATTGCCCAGACAACAGGTTGTTAACATACAGAATTCTGGTACTGTTCCACAACCCATTCAACAACAGCTGACTTCTGCTGGTACAGTTAGACAACAGCTGACATCTGGTACTGCTCGACAGCAGCTGTCTACTGCTCACAGTCTTGTGCATAATGGAAAGTACACTGCTCCAAATAGTCAACAGCCAACATCTAACATGAATTATATTTCAAGCCAAAGCCAAACAATGTCAATTCCTTTAGCTATAACCTCTGTGTCGAATACATCCAACATGGCAAATGTTCAGCAGATACATTTGTTACCTAAAAGCTCAAATATTGGTATAGCAGCTATTCAGAATTGGACCAATAGTCAAATGCCAACAAATAGAACTACTGTGGACACAAATAAGACTTTTAGTATGTTGTCAAATCAAGTCCATCCAAGCTCTAATCAAGTCCATCTTAGCTCTAATCAAGTCAGCATTAACTCCAATCATACCAGCATTAGCTGTAATCAAGTTAGTAATTCAAGTTCACAGAATGCACTTTCTTCTCAGTCGCATACATCTGCACAACCAGTGAACAAAACGCCTCAAAACTTAATTTATCTCTATCAGTTTCTTAAGAAATTGGTAGAAAGCAAGAATGATATCTCAGTTTATTTACAGAGTGGTACACCAGAAAACCGTCTTCTGGTTGATATTTTATGTTATAAAAAATTCAGAATAGAATTTTTAAAACGTTCAAATAATACATCATTGAAAATGCAAATTTTGAACAAGATGGGATCTTTGAGTCAACAGGCAAGTGAAGCCCTCCAAAATTCAGAATCCATGAACTCGCTCAAAAATAAGTCCACTGAAGATATTTTCGAAACCATACTAAATCTTACAACTCTTCGCGGTCAACAACCAATACAACAGATAAGACCAGGTCAACAAATACAAGTAATGCAGCAAACACAGTTGCAGACACAGCAAGTCTATCAACAACAGCTTGGTCAAATATCAAATTTAAGACAGCCTTCACCTCAAGTACAAGCTTCCTCCCATTGTACACCACCTCCTCCTCCTCTTGTACCCATTCCTGCTAGTAAGATAAAGAGAGAACCAGGATTAATAGACAAAAAACCCCAAAACTCTTGCTCTGGTCCATCAAACAATCAAAGTATTCCAACATCAATTCCGTCAAGTGTTGCACAGAATCCTCAGTCCAGTACCTTCCAAAGAAGCATTGATGATTTGATACGAATGTCAGATGAAGCTGCAGAACCATATGATAGTTTGTTTGATCCAATAGTGAATCCAAAACCTGAAGTGACCGACAAAACATGTGATGTAAAGCCTATACCAGTCAATCATTTGTCAGTAAAGCAACAACCACAAATTACTCCTTCTTTGTCTCAATTAAATTTAACCAACACTGCACCTTCTTTGTTAGAACAAAGAGGAGCGGTACCAATGACTGATGCAGGTGAAAATTTTTCCAGACAACTAGATGTCAAACCAATACCAGTTAAGCACTTAGAAGCACAGTCAGAACGGATGCCTTTAATGTCTAGTTTACCTGCACCACAGGATTCAACAACTGTTATAGGTAATCCAGAGTCTTTTCCTTCAGCTGATGATAGCTTTTTAAATACTCTAGAAGAACTTCAGCAATCTGCAATAGAATCTTTAAAAAGTACAAATACTGAATTTCCTTCTCCAGTTATAAATATTCCCAAAAGTGTAAGTGTTGTTACAGAAGTACCGGTACCACAAAAAACATCGGCTAGATTGACAAAAAAAGATGTTCCTCGTCCATTAAGTCCAAATAATATGTGTCGGGTAGAGGCTGAAGATCAGGCACATATTTGTTCAAGTCTGATTGAGTCTAACATATACGATAAAAAAACAAAAGATATGGTGCGAGTAAAAAAAAATGAAGTCATTTGTTCATTATCGTCAACTTTGAAGCCTAAAGATTCAACTACAGTAAAAGAAGCAGTTGATAGGTCTCATTATTGGTGTAACTTTTGTGTTTTTCAAACAGACAATAAGTTGAAACTGGTGAATCATGTTATATCTGCCCACCGTTTTTCATGTCAGTATTGTGCATTTCAGTGTTACTCACGAGCAGACGTTGTTGAACACACAATTAATACTCACAAAGAAGCTATTCAAGTCTCAAAAGACTTTAGGTATTGTGTTCTTTTACCAGACTATCTTAAAATAATTGAACAGATTGAGGATCAAGAGAATCAGAATTATGAATCTGATTGTCTTAGAACTTTTCAGACTAAAAAAATGCGTGCACATCCTGAGAGTGAAGCTAGTTGTCTGGAAAGTGATTGGGAAGAAGAATTTATGGAGGATACAGGATCAGAGTCTGCAAGTGATATTGATGATGTCCAAGAAGAGAAGATAGCTAGTCCAGAGAAAAAAGTGACCCCCAAAAGCAAAGGCCGTGACCGTAAAAGAAAAAGAATAAGGACCATATTAACTAGTGATGAAGATAATGGAGGCTCTGATGATGATGATGATGATGATGATGATGAAGCTGAGAGTAAGAAGAGGAGCATATTATTAGCTCACTTAAGTAGCAAAAGGAAGGCTAAAAAAGCCAAATTGAAAAAATCTGAAAATGGAATGGAAGAAATTCAAGCAGATGCTGAAAAGGATAAAACCCAACTGTCTGCGGCGCTTGAAAATACCTCCGAGGAAGTCGAAGAGAATCCGCCACAATTTCGAAGGCAAACTAGGAGAACAACTAAGAGTAATTATCAAAAAGATGTTCAAAATTTTGAACAGTTAGAGGAAATATTCGGTGGAGAGGAAGATAATAGTGACTATGATGATGATAAGGATGAAGATTTTGATCCCTCAAAAACAAGTGAAGAAAAACACAAGAAGCGAAAAACTTTAGAAGAGCCTATAAAATCACCTTCAATAAAATCACCTGTAGCTTCAACTTCTTCCATGGAAGCTTCTCCAATAGTTAAACCAGTTTCTGTTTTAGTCGTTAAAACTCAAGGATTAGTATCACCAGTTGTACATATAGTACCACCAGCTAGTAAAACTCAAGGACCAACTTCACCAGCCATTAATATTGTATCACAAACTAATTCACACACTACACAAACTAGCAATTCAACTAAAACTTATAATTTAATGCAGAGGTGTGTTCATTGTGAGTACTCCACTCAGGATACCCAATTGCTGAAATTACATTCCCTTGATTCTCACCAAGGTCAGTTTTTAGGCATTTGGCACCAGTCCTTAGATATTTTACTTTACATATGTCCTCGTAGATTTTGTGACTTTTATGGAAGTATGACAGGGGATTATATATGTCATTTAGAAAAATGCTCAATTGAGATGTCTGATTATGTTAAAGCATCTGTGCAGGTAACCAAGGAATATGTCCAAAGACTTAAAGAGAAAAGAATAGCTAAACCTACTAAATTGGAGGAACTGAGGACAGTGCTGAAGAAAATATCTGAATATATTAATGAAGAAAACCCAGAAGCAGCTAAATCAGCCACAGACCGATCATCCCCAAAACAACAAGAAGAGTGGCAGATTGTTAAACCGGTGGGATTCCATGCTCCACAAACTGACAAGACAACAGAAAAATCTCAGGAGTCAGATGACAGTAAAAATAGTTCCACGGCCACAGATGATAAATCAAAAGATGATTCTAAGACACACGACGCAAGTGATAAGGTAGAAAAGGGTAGTCATGGTTCCCAGGCGCAAAAGGCTGATGTTGAAAAAGAAGAATTGGACACCAGTGGATTTTTCAAATGTGCTTTCTGTTCATTTAAAGCTATGTCAAATACATTAACTGTCCGATCACATAGTGTAAAACAGCATCCAGAATTTCCGTTGTATACCATAAACTTAAAAGCTGTGGAAACAGGGAAAAATCATCGTTTTGTATTATTTTGTGTTGGCATTGATTGTGAGGCGGTCTTAACATCATCAGAAGAATATTTTAAACATATAGAGACTTGTGATGCAGTCAAACAATTAAAAGATGATACACAACTGTTAAAAACTAATAAGTTTGTAAAAACAACAATACACAGAGTAAGCATTGATTTATTTTTCATTCCATATCCTTCACATGTGGATGTATAACGTCGTCGTCGCCCCTGTCCATCCGCAATTGTTTGTGGACACTCTACAGGTAACAATTTTTATCCGATTTCAACAAAACTTGAAATATAGGTTTATCTCCCTAAGATCTCAATTCCCTTTGATATTGGCATGTATCGGACTGTAACTTCATGGATTATGGCCCCTGATTGTGCGAAAAAATCGCGTTTTTAGCTTGTGGACCCTATAGAGGTCACAGTTTTTATCTGATTTTCATGAAATTTGAAATGTAAGTTTATAACCCAAAGATCTTGGTTCATTTCGTATCTGACCGTAACTTCCTGAATTATGGCCCCTGATTGTACGAAAAATCACGTTTTTTAGCTTGTGGACCCTATGGAGGTCACAATTTTATTTTGATTTAAAAAAACGTTCGAATATATTACTGTTACACCTTAATGACGGTTTAGATCAAAATTCGTGAAAATCGGACCAAAAGTGCCGGACAAAAAGGCCGCCCCTCCTACGCAAACAGTGTAAAAATATGGTATATCAAGGTTGTGGACCCTCTAGAACTCACAATTTTGTTCCGATTTTGATGAAACTTGAAATAGATGTTTACAACCCAAAGATCCTTTCTATATTTGCACATATTGGATCGTAACTTTCTGAATTATGGCCCTTGACTGTAAAAAAAATCGTGTTTTTAGCTTCTGGGCCCTCCAGAGGGCACAATTATTATTCGATTTAAAAAATCGTATGAATATATGACCGTTACACCAAAATGATGGTTGAGTTCGAATTTCGTGAAAATCTGACCAAAACTGACGGACAAAATGGCCGTCCCTCGTATAACGCAAATGGTGTAAATATGCGGTATATCAAGGTTGTAGATCGCTAGAGGCCACAATTTTTTTCTGATTTTGATGCAATCTTAAATTTATGCTTATATCACAAAGATCTTGGTTCCTTTTGATATTCGTGCATATCCAATCGTAACTTCCTGAATTATGGCCCTTGATTGTATGAAAAATCGCGTTTTAAGCTTCTGGTCCCTGTAGAGGTCACAATTTTTATCCGATTTAAAAAAAAAACGTGTAAATATATCACCATTACACACTAAGACCTTGGTTACCTAGAGGTAACAATTTTTATCCAATTTAAAAAAACGTTTGAATATATCATCGTTACACCATAATGATGTTTGAGTTCGAATTCCGTGAAAATTGGACTAAAACTGCCAGACAAAATGGCCACCCCTCCTCACTAATAGTGTAAAAATATATCACCGTTCCAGCATATTGTTGGTTGAGTTCGAATTTCTTGAAAATCGGACCAAAACTGTCAGACAAAATGCCCCCCCCCCCCCAAATAGTGTAAACATCTGGTATATCAAGGTTGTGGCCCCTCTAGAGGTCACAATTTTGATCCGATTTTGATGAAACTTGAAATGCATGTTTATAACCCAAAGATCTTGGTTTCTTTCGATATTCGCGCATATCGGATCGTAACTTCCAGAATTATGTCCCCTGATTGTACGAAAAATCGTGTTTTAGCTTGTGGTCCCTCTCCAGGTCAGAATTATTATCTGATTTAAAAAACTGTTCAAATATATCACCGTTACACCGTAGAGTGTCCACAAACAAATTGTGGACGGACGGACAGGGGCAACGGCATAATATGCCCACATGAAAATGTGGGTGTATAAAAATTATGTGATTTATAACCACAAGATAGTAGTATTTGCTTGTGTTTCTGTTCTGCCCTCTCATAAATTTATATACAAAAATTATGGGTCATTAAATATTTGCATGTACATACAACTACATTTATGGCAGTACTTGATTATTGGCGTCATTCTTGTCTGTCCTTTGTCCACAGTTGCTTTTGAACGATCTAGTGCTAGAGGCTAGCAGGAGGGTCTGGTTTGTCATGAGGTCTGGGGAATTACCCAAGAATTTTATGATCATTAGCTCTGGGACAATATTTCTGCTACTTTAGGCGCAAGCATGTATAGGATTAGAATGGAGTGAGGCCAAAACAGTTGCAATATGCTCTGTGCAGCCCATCTCTGAACACGCGTCTAGCTAGAGGCTACAATTATTATCCAAAGTTACTTTAAATTGATTGATACATTACACAGTGTTTGAGGTCACGAGACAAAGAATCCTATTGATTTTAAGCGACTTCTGATGATTACTGCAGAACTCAAAACAGCTAATTTTATCATCTGGTTACTGATATCGGTATGCCTGTATGTTTTGTATAATAAATGTTAGCATCAGGAAGAACTAGAAGCCATTCTAATTACTCTTGATCAGTTTTTAGTGTCTTCAGCTGTCTTGTAAATGCTCCCATTATCTATGAAAATGTGACAACCCTTGTTATATTATATCAGGACTTTGTAATTGTATCGATAATGTTATACTAAGTTAGAAATCATTATTTATTCAGTTTCTATTTTGATTTCATTTCAGTTATGATAAAGGAAGAGGATAAGTGATGATTTTAAGCATGCCAAACATAGGTGAAAAGACACAGAAAAAGACTAGCTATAAACTGTATCAGTCCTTCACATTTAAGGTGCTCTTTCACTCCTGCTCCTCTCGATGCACCTCAACTTTCCTCAAATTAGCTAAATCGCTCTCCTAAATATTGAGATTAATAAACTACTTTCAGTATTTATATGACCACATTGCTTGTGGATGCTTTGGAGGCTAAAGTTAATATCCGATTGACTTTAAATTTATACACAGTGTTTAAGGTCATGAGATGAAGAATCCTATGATTTTCCGATAATTACTGCCAGAGTTATATGGTCCTTGATCACTTTGAAATATCTTATGGATCCTCATGAGATGAAGAACGCTATTGATTTTCAATGATTTCCAATAATTATTGCCAAAGTTAAATAGCCCTTGATCACTTTGAAATATCTTGTGGACGCTCTAGAGGCTTAAGTTAATGTGGGCGTATGTTTCGTTGCCTGGCATCCTATCTTTGTTTATTTTTAAACTGCATATGTTATCAAACACGCAAGGCAGTATCTTCCATAAGAGATTATGAAACAAAACTAAAGAATAAATACAATTTGGATCTCCTTAATTCAACAAAATGTAGAATTACTACTGCAATATAATTAAGGTATTTTTTACAGGAACCTTTTTCTCGTTTATGAAATTGGCAGGAACTTTTTATGGCTCCCAGACGATTTCATAAACATGGAGCACTGCTATATTTCTCTGTATTATTTATCTCAGGAAATATTTTTGAGTCGTTAGTTTTAAGTGTCACTAATTTTAGTCTTTTTTGGCTGGCATTGCTGGCAAAACATTTATTTCAATAATTGATCCATAACCTTGGTATATCCTTTCTTCCACTGTTTGTGCAATAAGATTATAAAAAGTTATTTAATTGCATTTTAATCATTTTATTTAGCATTTCAATTACAGTATACCCGGTAATTAATATATTTACCTATAGGTATAAAGAAAATGTACCAACTGCCAAATTAACTTACAAGGGCCTCTTTAATAGTTTAAGATAAATGATATTTTTACAAATATGGCATTTAGTTAAAAGAGGAAATTTATGTACTTTATAAAATGTGATTGTCTTCCTGTGGAGCTGTAAACAAAATATTAATAGTCTTGTTTTAGAAGAATGGTTGAAATAATACAGCTAAAAAAATTTTGATTGAATAATTTTTGGAATAACAATGTCAAATTTTGATTCTGAAACCTAGATATACTGAGAAATTTGGATCAATTAAATATACTTTCCCACAAAAGTATTTATCGGGACAGTTTATTATAAATGGAAAGTAAAGACACCCAATCTTGCTAGAAAAATTCTGGATTCCTTGAAAAACACCAATGGAGCAAGCACAGGACAAAAATGAGGGGGTGTCACTAATTGGCAGCCTGACGATTAAGGGCTGTCTGAGCTCTTGGCATTCGGGAGCGCTTGATGTATATGCTGATAAATTTAATGGTGAGAGGACATGGAAAAAATCAGAGACTTAAAATTACAACAGTTTCCGAGATAAAAACTGCGGAAAAAGATGTGGGCAGGGGATAGTCCGAAAATTTGCTTAGGCATTTATGATAAATGGCTGATTAAAGACAACATTGTCTATTATATACAATGGATTCTCCTCCAGCTTCGCACTGGTTGCTAGGTACTGCAACAGCCAAGTCACGTGACGCAAACAGGTCTTCTTTTAATAGATTTTTTATAACTTGGGGTATTTCCTCGCAAATACGATGTTTAGTTAAGATATACTGTATATATTGATATATCATTGATAACATTTATTATCATGTACATAGTTTAAAAATTAAACCTATGTATATTGTTTATATAATATTGTAATGTATATATACATAAGATGATGTATAATAATATAATATTTGTATTCTTTTATATTAAACAAATAAATATACATCTATTATGTTGAATTGACAAGAGGATGGAATCAAGCATTCCAGTGTTTATCCTAGGTCAGCAGTCTATACATCTGGAAAAGGTTTTTCAAAGCACTTGCTGTGAATTTGTGCAATGGGTAATAACGAACCTGAAACGCTAATCAATTTCTATGCCATTAGGCTTCCTATGGGTCACTATCGCAAAATACGAATGACTGCCGAGTCTGTTGCGGTAGGTGTGCAAAATAATTTGACCCCCAAAAATAAGCTAGACCAGCTTGTTATTAACTCGTCACATTTCTGGTGAACCGATGAATCTGATATATTTAAGTATTGAGAATTATGTGTTTGAAATTAGCGTTCTGTTGTATCTCTGTAGCCATCAAATAATAACATTGATGTAAATGGCGTTCGGTGTCCTGATGTATATGTATGAAATATTAAGTCACAAATGAATGTTATTATTTGATGTCCACAGATATAACAACAGAACGCAAATTTCAAACACATAATTCTCAATACTTAAATATATCAGATTCGTTGCTTTGCCAGAAGAGCGGCGAACTGTGTAACAATAGGTTATAAGCATATCAAAACTCGCTCATTTCCTAACCGTATGAAATTTGTTGAAAAATGTTTAGCATTTTAAGAATAATCGATGCAAGACATTTTCAGTGGTGGGGATATCCCTGCTGGATGTCCATGATTGTCCCTTAAACCCCAAAAGCTAAGCTAGACTAGCTCATTTACTAAATGCGTGATACTTGTTGCAAAATGTTTAGCATATTCCCTGCGGTATCAAGAATGACCAATGTCAAGGCATTTTCATTGGTGGGGTTTAAAGTTATCATAATCAGATGACCTGTAGAGTGTCAACAAACAAATGTTGTCAGCCGGACTGGGGCGATGGCATAATCATATGAAAATTGTTGACTAATTTTCATAAAATGAAAAAACAAAATAGTAGTGGTACATTTTTTTTTTTAAAATCAAAACAGAAAAAAGAACATCACATATCAAATAAATGCAACTCTTTCTTGGAAAAAAATAAATATAAATAAATATTCATTCAAAATCACAAGCTCATTTTCTAAACAGTTAACCAACCGAGTTACACCAAATATTCTTTTCAAAAATGCACAAATACATGTAGTCCTTATTCAACTTTAACTAAAATGTAAAAATATGTGAATGAAACATTTCTTGGACTTCAGAATCAAATTTAATATAATGCTGTATGTAATAATAAAGCTGTACAGACACTACCAATAACACCATAGTTACATATTTACATATATTTTCAGTATAGCCTACTTTAGAGTAAAGATGAAAATGTTCACTTGAATTACTGTGTCGTAATGTCTAAATGCATCTCTATAGAACAATAATTCATAAATAATCAAACTAAAATACATAGCAATATGTGTATTTTAATATTTGGTGACAGATGTTCCCAGTAGCAGTTGTGGTGAGTCAGGCAGTGAATAACAGAGGTTTATCTTTTAAGAGGCGAAGGTGTATCTCCTAGAGTTGAATCAAAATCAACAGTAGGTAATGATATCTGTATGTCTCTTGGTGCCTGAAAAAAGTAAAAATTTTTATTTATTAATAATCTCACAATATTGTCATATATGGATAAGGAACCAAGTATGATCTCATCGCAGCCATCCTGGAATAGTGACATGCTAAAAGATAGGTTGCCAGGTAACGAAACAGACTGTAGGCCTCTTGGTCTCATGAACTTAAACACTGTATAAATTTAAAGTCAATCAGATAGTAAATCTTTGAAAATCAATAGGCCTCTTCGTCTCATTACCTTAAACACTCTATATAAATTTAAAGTCAATTGGATATTAACATTAGCCTCTTGGAGCATCCAAGATCAAGGGCCATAACTCGCACAGTAATTATCGGAAATTCATCTCATGACCTTAAACACTGTATAATTTAAAGTCTATCCGATATTATCTTTAGCCTTTTAAGAGTGTCCACAAGATTTTTCAAAAGTAATCATGGGCCATAACTCTAGCTGTAATTATAGGAAATCAATAGGATTCTTCGGATCATGGGCTTAAACACTGCGTATAAATTTAAAGTAAATCGGATGGACGGGAGCAACGAAAAAATATAACTCATTTCAATGTGAGCGTATAAAAACGAAGTTTGTCAATTGATGAATTGGTGGAGGCCTTAAGCAGCTTTTACACGATACAACCAATCCATACGGAGAGAGAGAAACACATTGGATACAATAGTTCTATTCGTTGTATGGCAACATTTGTTCCTTTTTAGTTACTGATTAAAATAGCAGACGACATTTCACATCCTGTCTTTGTGTAGTGTTGATGCCACAAAGTCCATGCCCTCTATACAGAGTTATTAGATATTCTAATTCAGTGCAGGATAGGTTTAGATCCATTTAGAGGACATAACAGTACTTGAAGTGACAGAAGAAGATATCTTTAATCAGGAAGTCTTGTTGCCAAGTCAGATATGACGTCATACCCTATATGATGGTGTCTAATATTACACAATTTGATTGGCCATTGCATCAGACTGTCAGATGAGAATAGAACTGATCCTATCCATACAACAAGCTGTTCATCCGACCATTTGTCTGATGAGTTGGTCGGATGTGACTGCTATATCTATTGGTTGTATGGATGGGTTGTATCGTGTAAACGCCGCTTTGGTCTTTTTATCAAAGAGTGTAGCCCCCCCCCCTCCCAATGTCACATTTGTCTGAATATTTTTTTTGGACACCTCATTATTTGGTGAAAGTATCTGGATGTCAAAATAAAAATTTCCTATCCGATATACATGTAAGACAATTCACAGCTGAATAATGTACATTGCAATAATTACCTGTCTTGAAGGATGTTGGTTTTGTAAAGGAACATAGAGATTATCAGACAACTGAGAGATGGGGGATATTTCTGGCGAAAAAGGCCCTCCATTCTGAAAATAGAAGTTTTAATCAAAACCAAGTTGGAAAGTATGTTGTATCTCTATCAGGATTATGATAAATGACACGTATAAGCATTCAGTATAAGCACAAAAATGTAAATAAATGCACAAGCTGATAAATAACTAGTGAGATATTATTTCTGATTTTGAGATCTATCATTTTAATTTGTACTATGCTATCCAGCATATAGTCTTGTAAAGCCAAATTGTATCTAAAAAAGTCGATGATTTGCATCTGTGTCTAAGCCACAACATAAACATTAAAATGTAAACATAAACCAATTGGTAAATATGATTTTAATTTTTAGTGTACCAAACTTCAACGAAATATACAGTGTGTAATTCTATGCAAATACACAAAATATAAACATTGAGATAAAACTAAACCTATTTATTAGCAAGGTATTTGTTTGATCATAGGACTAATATCTTGATACGTATATTAATTTACCTGCGTATTAGTATCTCTAGGGGGAGTAACAGCAGTATTTTCATCATCAACCATCTGTCTGTGTATATCGAAGCCCATAGATCCTTGTTGTTGCTGCATTCTCTGCATCTGTAGCTGCATATGTTGCATAACATTTTCCTGTTGCTGTAAGACCTTATTCTGAGACAGTTCACTTCTATCAGAACCATTACTATTGTGATTACTTTGATTTGCAAAATTCTGTGACTGGCGCTCTAATAACTGAGCAATTTGTTGTTGCTGCTGCATCAATTGTCTTTGTTGATTTAACATGGACTGACTCATATGGTTTAATGGTGACCTATCTTGTGAGTCCTGTGTATGCAGCCTATTCTGCTGGTTTTTATCTTGATCGCTCAATAATTTTTGCTGTTGTTGCTGAACGAGAAGCAACTGAAGACGTTTTTGAGCCTCTTCATGTTGTTTATTTAGTTCTGCAATTTGGGATTTCATGTCATCTTCTCGTGGATTTTTTGGCATGCCGCCTTGTAAAACAGGATTTCGTACAACACTTACAGATACTTGAGCAGGTAGATGATCTTGTGCTTGAATGCTGACTTGTTGGTATTGTGCTTGGGAAGTTTCTACAGTCTGAGAAGTGATTGGTTTAGAAAGTGGTATTGGACGAGGAACGTTTATTGTAGCACCAACAGGAGGCATATAATCAGAAGCAGTCGTTACACCATTGGCTAGAGCTGGTAAGTCAATCAATGATGTCTGTCGCCCTGGAGTAAGAGAAAAATAATTGAAATGTTTGCTATTAAAAATTGATTCAAAATAATTTGTAGAACAGACTGCAAATCCTCATTTTCTTGAAAGTTATTTACCAATGTAAAGGGTAGATATCGTTTATAATTGTTCCAGGTCCAATCGACCGTAATAAAAATGAGATGTTATTTTTGTTCTGTTTATTCGGATGGCTTGGAAAGGAGTAGGCATGCCACAATCTGTGCATTACTTGATATGCCCTATAAAGATACCAAAAATAAAACGGAACAAATTGTAGGTATAATTTTAATGTCACTTCCAAGGGTCCCAATAAGTAACAAATAAATGTTTTAATTTTAGTGCTAAATATATTGCCAAAATATATTACCAAGGGGAAATACTTTTGTCAAGTAGTGATAAATAATATAGCAATACAACCTACAAATCTGTGACTTACTTGAAAACAATGATTCCGAATGATCCTGGTAATTATTATGTTCCTGTTGATCATGTACCCTGGTTTTCCTTACTGGTGGTGATAGAAGAACAGCGCCATGATCCTGTAGATGATCTGGTAATGATGATTTTAGTGCAGGATTTGGTAAAGACTGGGTGGTGGTAGTAGTATGATTGGGTAGAGATGTTATAGCAGGACCTTGTACAGTACTCAAATTATTATTATTCCTAAATGTCTCTAAATACTGATACATTTCATTAAACTGTTCATCTGAAATAAACATTTTTTTAAAATAAATTTTCTTGGTTATTTCAATTTAATTTAGTAGTAAAATATAGCTAAATTGATTCAGTATTTACTGAAATAATACATTTTTAGAAAGCGATAACCCACCATTGTTATAGCTAACATATATTGACTAATAATTATTTGAGTATCCAGGACCCAAGAGCAGCCATGGTAACCCCCATCTTAATAAAATTATGAAACCAGCATTGTCTGCTCAATTTAGTTTTATCACCAAATACAAGTCATAATTTCCAGTATACTAGTCCTATATATATCCCCCGAGGAAGAATTTTCCTTCTTATTAGCATGTAATACATATCTTTATACGCAAACATTTTCATGTGGACGTATATTGTCGTCGCCCCTGTCCGTCCATCCACAATTGTTTGTGAACACTTTACCTACAAGTCACAATTTTAATCCGATTTCTATGAAACTTGAAATATAGGTGTATCACCCTAAGATCTCGATTTCTTTCGTTATTGGCATGTATTGGACTAACTTCATGGATTATGGCCCTGATTGTACGAAAAATCATGTTTTTAGCTTGTGAACACTGTAGTGGTCGCAATTTTTATCCATTTTGGTTTAAACTTGAAATGTATGTTCATAACCCACAGATCTTGGTTCCTTTCAATATTCGCGCATATCGGACCATAACTTCCTGAATTATGGCCCCTGATTGTACGAAAAATCACGTTTTTAGCTTGTGGACCCTATAGAGGTCACAATTTTTATCTGATTTAAAAAAAACGTTTGAATATATCACCGTTACACCCTAAGGATGCTTAACTTTGAATTTCGTAAAAATCGGACCGAAATGGAAGGACAAAATAGCCGAGCCCCTAGTTCGCAAATAGTGTCAAAATATTGTGTATCAGGGTTGTGGACCCTCTGGAGGTCACAATTTTCATCTGATTTTGATGAAAATTAAAATGAATGTTTATAACCCAAATATCTTGGTTCCTTTCCATTTTCGTACATATCGAATCGTAACTTCCTGAATTATGGCCCCTGATTGTACGAAAAATCAGGTCTTTAGCTTGGGGTCCCTTTAGAGGTAACAATTATTATCCGATTTAAAAAAACGCTTGAATATATCACCGTTATACATTAAGATCTTGGTTCCTGAATTCAACTTTTTATCTTGCGGATTCTCTAGAGGTCACAATTTTTTTCCGATTTTAAAAAACGTTTAAATACATAACCATTCCATCATAATGAAGGTTGAATTTGAATTTCGGGAAAATCGAATGAAACTGCCCGACAAAATGGCCGCTCTTTGTACACAAATTGTGTAGAAGTGTGTAATACGAAGGTTGTAGACCCTCTAGAGATCACAATTTTTATCCAATTTTGATGAAACTTAAAACATATCTTTATATCCCAAAGATCTCAGTCCCTTTTGATATTTCAGGCCATAACTTCTGGATTATTGCCCCTGATTGTACAAAAAATCGTGTTGGTTTTTAGCTTGTTCTTTATCCATCTCTTGCAAAATGTGGGCGTATCCTGCCTGGCAGCCGCTGGTTTGACTTGATATGGATAAACCATCATATATTTTTTGTTTTATTGTTGACAATTTTGTACTGATATTTAATCCCTATATATGAGTAATATTTATAAATACCTGGGTGATGTTTTGGTGGTGTTATTGTTGTTTGTGGTTCACCACTACTATTATTAACATTTATTGTCTGTACACCCATTCCATGTAAAGCAGCCTACAACATATAAATAGTATCAAATGCCTGTTATTTAGAATGGTGGACGGACTCAGTTTTACTCACACCTCATCTGTTATTTACACTGCCAAACAGACTTAGTTCTGAAACGTTCTGTGCAGTTTCCCCAAAAACTTAAATGGGCAAATATGTTGAGAAAAAGAAATAGAATTTTATGTACACTTGAAACAAACTAGGTCATTTCAAGACTAACATATGGTAGACTTTCCTTTCAATAATTCGAATGTGCTGAAGGATCATTAACAGTGGAAGGATACAGAGAAAACCCACAAGGGTCAACAGGCTTGGGCTCTTGACTCAATGATAGACCTTATGATCTAAAGTGCAAATACTGTGTTTTACTGACTGCCAAAAATAAGATTTCTTTTTTGTCTGGTCCATAGGGTAAATATATATTTTTTAAGTTTAAAATATAAGGAATTCATTGTAAATGGTTAGCATGATAATATAGCCATAGATGACAATGTATGTTTATCTAAACTATAAATCAAAACACTAACCTTAATAACTGCAAATTCTTGTTCCGTTTTTTGTCTGTATCTTTCAAACTGTGTCTGTGTTTTACCATATTCTTCTTGTGATACTATAATATCCTGTTGATTTATAAATCATTCTTTTATATTTATTGTCTTGGTTCAAATATTATATACATCAATTGACATTTGATAACATAAATAACATCAGATCAATTTATTTTCATGATATTGATACCTACCGATGTGAGAGCATCTATAATATTTCTCATCTGATGGACATCTTGTGTTAATTGTTCTCTAACAGTTATTTCAGCTTGTAATCTTCTATCAGTCTGAAATTCATACAGATAATAACTTACAGTATATTTTAAACATAGCTTTTTTAGTTTCTTGTCATTTTCTGAAATCGGAATATCAGTTAGACTCCAAATAACCTAACCTTTAGGAACAATCAATTCAATCTATTTCCTGAATGTCTGATACAGCGATTAGGATTTAATTTTAAACTTCTCATTTCTTAAAACCAGTCAAATGAATGAATTATAATTACCTCTCTTAAATATTTAGCTAATTTAGACACTGCATCTATTAATGCCACTGTATAACCAGAAAATGTATTTGCACGTTGTTTTTCTGCTGGTGGTCTTCTGCCCGTCTGTTTTTCAAATTCTTCTATTTCATCTTCTAAACTTTCTAAAACCTATAATACAAAAAATTATATCATACAGAATAACTTCTTGCATAGTAATAATCAGAATGTCAGAAATGTTCTCCTGGATTATTTAAGACAAACCTTACCAAAAATCTGATGCAGGAGGGAGGCACTACAATTATCTCATCATGTTGTTTGTAGCAATGTATGGTTATCCAGTATCATTTATGATTGTTAGTAGCATTTATGAGCCTATGCCACATTTCTGAATTCATTCAATGTTTTTAATAGAGCTACTTCCTGTAACCAGGTAAATGAATGGGGGCAACAACAATATACAAAATTTCCATAATATCCATGAAGAAATTTTTTATGGGTTTGATTCTATTACCTTTCTCATATCAGTTAAATTCATAGCTGATGATTGTGTAGTTGTATCTATTGATTGACTAGGTACTCGATTTCTACTCTTCTTTACTTTACTTGTATCATTTATAGCTGATCTAGGTGATCTTAATATACCTATAGACTCATTGCCATCTTTAGGTGGAGTTTCAAATCCACTCATTCCTACAAACGTATATAAAACATCGTCAACTGACGCATAAAATTTCAAAAATAAAACTTCAGCACTGTCTCAAATATTGTCTATTAACTTAGTCAGAGAGAGAGAGAGAAATGGGGTTTAACGTCCACTCGACACAAACTAGGTCATTTCGGGACTAACATATGGTTTTAATTTTATTTCAATAATTCGCTTGCGCGTAGGGGTCTTTAGCAGTGGGAGGAAACCAGAGGACCCGGACAAAAACCCACGTGGTTGGACAGGCAACCCTACTTCTTGTCACGTACAACTGGGGATTCAAAATCACGCCAGTTAACTTAATGACACGCCTCATGATACAGCGCGCATGTGCTAACCATTCGGCCATCCAACAAATTTGGTCTTGCCAGATAGGAATTTTGACAGGGAACAAATAAGTGACATTGTTTTGATTATAGAGGTAATAGTTATTGCTCAATTACAGCCTAAACGTTATCATTTCAAATGCATAAATATACTACAAAATTTAGGGAACTCTTGAAATAAGACTAAGAAGTAGTATCTGGTGTTCTAGAAAGAGTAAGCTCCTTTGATTTTGTTAACTTCAGTAGATGTTAAATAATCAATTAGAGTACAGTTTAGAGTGAATTTAGCCGTGAAAAATTAGATATTGTCCAAAGATACAATTAATAATGATCAATAGCTGTAAATGTTAATATACAAAATTGTGATGCATAGATGTGTTTACCTTGTATTTGTGTACTTTGGACAGGACCAACCTCATTGTGACTTAACTGAGCTTGACCACCAATGCTACTAAATGTTTGATTCTTCTCTTCATTAGCTATAAATTGTTGAAATCTTTGCAAATTCATCTGTGGTTGGTAAACAATGGGATGAGGGTTTGATTTACCATCTTCATCTATAAGATAATATATATTTTTTTTAATTTTGAAGCATATAGGATCAGGAAATACACTATTTTCTTAAAAGCATCAAACTTTTTTTTAAGGACCCCTAAGTTGCATAACTTATACTCTGCTGTAATTTTTTTGCCTAACTTAGCTTTTTTGTTGGAAAGTATGGGCCTTATATTATAAATACCAGCAATATTGACATTTGACATACAGCATATCTTTAAGATAGTTTATTGCATTGGTTCAACTTGGCTCTCTAAGTGAAAAGTATCCTTAAAATTCAAATCCAAACTCTCTGATTTACATGCAGCTCTCACATTATATTCATATTGAAAAAATCTGAAATTTTTTAATACCTGAATCTGAATCTGGCAGATCATTCAATGCTGAAGGGTTCATAACTGAATCACTCAAGGCTTCTATTCGTGTGTATATTTCTGGCATATCTGGTGCCAATTGACTTGTCCTTAATAACAAAAACAATAAACAAACGTCATGAGCTGACTTAAAACAGGTATTATTGCAGGTCTTTCTTTAGGCTTGAAATGTTATATAAATTATTAATTAGACATTAATTAACTTACCAAAACCATAATCAACTCTCGATGCCATTGGATGGCTGCGATGTATATAAGTATATTTAAATACACTTTGTGGTCGATACAGTTACCATCAAATAGGATAATTGAGACTTTGTTTATTATCGTAACAATGGTAGTAATGACAATCAAGGCTAGACTTTAATTGTATTGCTGATATCTAGGCTCAGAATGCCGTAATTTGACTGAAATTTTCAGAATATTCTTTTTTCATTACCTATTTTTGAACTATAATAGCGAGAACTGTTAGCTCTTTATCTAATCTTACCTATGCCGCTTTAAGAAAAACATGGACAATTACATTAAAATAATGTAAAGTAATATCAGCAGTCATTATAACTTTAAACTGATGAAATGAAATGAAATGGAGTTTAACGTCCTACTGTTCTGCTCCTAATCTGGGCTAATGAAGACGGGCACACGCCATACAGTGTGCTATGAGGGAAATTTTGCCCGGACAGCGGCACTACGGCCTACTCTTATATCGAATTCCAACTGCCAAGGGATCTTTTACGTGCACGCCAATGTGTACACGGGACCTCGGTTTTTCGTCTCATCCAGAAAACTAGACATTAAACTGATGAAGGGTGAGTATAAAAATGGCATTTTACAATTAAAGGCTCATTATGCCGCAAAGTAAATGGTCGTTTTTTTATTTAAATCTATCAAAATTAAGGGCTGAAAGGTGTTTATAAGATAGTAGTCTAGACAATAAAATAAAAAAAAACCAATGTTTAGATATCATTTTAGCGCTGTAGGAATCCCTTAAAAATACAATACTGTGGAAGATGAATCTCTAATAGGAAATATCAGTCAAAAAATGGTTCAATTCTATTCAGTATTGACAAAGTAATGATTAATTGAAATTTCATCAATCTATGCTTGCATGCCATGTAAAAATGCAGTTGATGCATCAAGCCATTAAGATTGGTGGATTTTAATCATGTTTGAATCAATTTGATAAGACTATTCTTAATGTGTATGTTTAATCATCAATAATATTATATAATATACTAACCTATTTGCATCTCCTGCAGCTATATTATTAGGTGCTGTTGTTATATTAGGAAACCCCTTATATTTCTGAAATGTAATCAAGTTAATCAGCAAACCAAATAAATAGAGCAAAATTTATTTGATAGAAGCATAGCTCAATAAAATTGAGAAACAAGAACGATACTGAGCACGTACATAAGCCAGAGAAGGTTCTATTAGCCTATAAATAGCCATCCGATCTGGCATTTTCTAAACACGTATCAACTATTCAAGCTGTAAAAGATCTATTGTAAAAGATTTAAAATAACATTAACAGTATTATTAACCTTTTTGGTTGTTACAGCAACTGTTTAATTTGCTTTATTAATATCTCTGAAACAATGTAGCAACATTGCTAGAATTTTTACTCTTTAAATTAATGATAGCATTATATTAATTAATATCTTTGGCTAATTATTAGATTCTCACATTGTGTAGTACCATGGGTCATCTGTGAGATGTGGAGAGTGGACCACGCCAAACCGGGCGCCACATCCTACGTAAGACCCATGCATCGTTTCTTACTACGTATCTTAGTAGCCTTATTAAATACTAGACGATCACAAGGCTATTAAGATATGAAGTAAGAAAGGAATGCATGGGTCATACGCCAGATGTGGCAACCAGTATTAGTATGAGGGTCGCTTTCCACGTCTGACAAAAGACCCATGGTGCTACAACACTCAGGATACTAGTACAGTGGACTCAGTCACTTCAGACATCTGAATACTACAGCATTCTGTGAAATCCGTCACCATTTTCATCTCCCTATTTATTTCCCTATTACTTCAACCAAAAAAGTTTTGAGTAGTCTGTATTCTGAATATAAATCAGCGGTCCCGTCACACATTTGCGTTCAATTAACATTGGATAATCTGGCCTTCAATCAGTGGGTGTTCACCGACAAGTAATCACCAATCAATTATCTGTGAGCATAAAACATGTGTCAGTCTTTGTTGATTACCTTGATAATTTTATAATCTCTTGTAAGAGAGCGCTTGGTATTTGATTTGAGTTTCTCAAGTCAATTCATAATGTGTGATCGTTATGAATTGACTTTGACATCATAGCACTGATTTTGAGAAAGTTCCACGACCTACACAGAAGGAATTAGCCGTTAAGTATTCAATTGGCTGTACTACAGTATCCAACATTTTAAAGCGAAAAGATGAATTCAAACAGCTGTAAGAAAAGATTTTACTTGAACGCTAAGTTTGAAGACATGAACAGAGTGACACACGAGTGGTTTGAGGCGTAGATAAACGTATAATACTTCCCGTATTGAGGCAATTGAGTATTCTGACATATTGTATCGATCCCGTACAATGTCGTAATTGACAGAGTCCACTGTAGTATTTTCCTTTTGCTTTTACAAATCATTGAGTTGCCTAACTAAATTAAGATTTCTTGATCTAGCTTTCTGTAATGTTTCATAGAAAATAAGTCTTGAATATCCAGGCCTGTCAATCAGGCAGAGAACAGTCAATAGACTTGTTTGAAGCGACTAATCTCAAACCAAGGGCATGTAACCTATTTTGCACTCTATAATGCCCAGATGTAATGTCCACTTGTTGTTTATCTTTTCAGTGTATTTTTTTTATTGATGTTTGAATGGTTATAACTTGTTAAATATGACATGACTGTTTATTTAGTGACAATAAGTTAAAGCTTGTTATAATTATATATATGATATTGTAGTATAATTGTTGATATATTTGGATAGATTTGGTGGGACACTCTACCTTAGGATCATCACCAAATAAATCTTGTACAACTGCCATCATACTGTCTGTTTTATCCAAGACATTCTTCAGCTAAAAAAAATAATCAAATGTTTATTACTTGGTTATACAACAAGTCATATTTACCCCAAATGATTCAACTTTTAGATCAAGAAATGATAACTTTTGAACAACTACATGGCAGAAGTAGTAATTTACTTCTATTCTAATGGTCCTTTAATAGTCAATACACTTTACAACCATTGAATCAGCTTCTAAGGGGGGGGGGGGGGCTTATGTCGACCTTGTAACTCAAAACAACTGGGAGCAATTGAGAGCAACTGAATGCAACTAAAAAAGGTTGAAAAGAGTGCCTCTTACAACTCGCTGCAACAAGTTGCAGTCAGTTGCGCATGTTCAACTTTCTGCAACTCGCTGCAACTAGCAGCAACTAGTTGCAGTCACTTGTACATGTTCAACTTTCTGCAACTCGCTGCAACTAGCAGCAACTAGTTTCAGTAGACTAGACAATGAGTGGTCTTACAACTGGTGTCAACTCGTTTCCATCACATGATATGAGAAATGTGTCATGTGACTTTATAAATAAGCAACGGTAAGCAAACAAGGAAACCCACTTTTTAAATGTTGATGATGTTGACAATAATATATTAATAGAATTGTAGAAAGACCGACCATGCCTTTGGGGTGCTCCTTCTAAGTTATTCGCCATTTTGATCATCATGTGATGAATAAATCAACAATCAGGCATTCAGTGTAGTAATCGCTATCAGTTTCGTTTCTGACATAAGCGCTCCGAATTCAGTTGTCCTCAGTTGCTGCTATGATCGACATAAGCACACTTACAACTGACTGCAACTAGTTGCTTTGAGTTGAAAAGTCGACATTAGCCCTACTTACGACAGAAATCACAAATTTATAAGATATATAGATACAACTGTTCTACTCCACACATTCCGTTCTACTCCACTAACACCTGGGTTCATCCATGGGGGAGACACATACTCAAATTATCTGCCCTTGATGACCGTCATATTGTTGTGAACGTAAGCAATGAGGCTCAGACTGGTTTGTAAGTTGATTTTTGATTGGTTCGTAGAATCAAATTATGATCAAGGGCAGATAATTTGAATATGTGAATACCCCATAGCTGAACCAAGGGTATAGTGGAGTAGAACGGAATGAGACCACTGGGGATACCGAGAATCATATACATGTAGATATAGATACAAAAACATGTGAGGCAGTTCATTACAGTAATTGGACGTAGCCTACCTGACGTTGATCATATAAGATTTCTTTCATAATAGCTAATTGTCTAGCTTGCTGTTGAGTGATCCGTCCACCTACTGGTGCATTACTGCCATTACTGGAACATTTTGTCTCACCTGAACAAAAAATACCTCAATTTTACCAACATGATGAAACTTATGAGGCTGGAATTCAAAGAATATTTTTTTCTCATATTTTAAGATTTAGAGAATTATTTGATTTTTTTTAGACAAAGCTGACATGGAATTTAATACATTTTGGAAAAAAGCTCATCATTGCATTTACCTTTTCTTATCTGTTGAAGCTTAAATGCCATATGATTCTTGGATTTATGAGCTAACTTTCTCTGCATCTGTACAATGAAAAATATAATAACAAAATATAAATCTGTATTACTGATACTTTTAAACAAATTGGTATGCAACAGCAGCAACATTAGTGCTCCACATAACTTTCTAAGTCTGTAAACACCTTGTTTATTGATGCCCTTCATGTAAGTTCACTGGAGAAAATAAGAAGACATTCAATAGTTAATATCTAAAACTATTATTTAATTCTAGGGGCCTATTTCACAAAATTTTAACTTAAGATAAAATCCAATTTTTAGTAGATACTTCAATTTTGATTGGCTAAGCACTAAAATCAATCTAATATTATCCAATCAAATTACTAAAATTTGGATTCTATCTTAGATAAAATTTGGTGAAACAAGCCCCTCTACATTTTAAAAAAAACCAAAACAACCTTATTGTAAAAATGTGAATACTAATTAGCATCTTTTACCATATTTTATTTATGAGACTTACTATTTCTTCATCAGTTGCTTTATAGGCTGACAAATCGTGGTTAGTATCCTGCAAAGATCATAAAATGAAACATTGAGTACTGTAACATGTAAAAATGCAAAATTTACAGAAAGAGCTATCTGTTCTTGCTATAATAGCACAAAAACAGATAATGAAAAATTAATATAGAGCCTACATGTACTGAAAGTTTTGACAAGAAATATGCATAATCGGCAGTTCATATTAATTGACAAGTACCATTGCCATGATAATAAACAAAGTTTCAATGGTCAGTTTCTTTTATCATCAGTCTTTTGCCATATTTGCATTTAACACAGATATGGCAGGCATTGTCAAATCCACTCATTATCTCAGCCATCTGATGTTCTATGGAGTTGATTGTAGGCTTGTTGTGTGAATGTCTAAATAATAATTAACATAACATTTGAAGCCATGCAAGTTTAGCTTCGGCTCTTACATAATGTCTCTTTATGTGAGCATGGAAGTTAACCCAATATGCTTACTACTATTATAAACTACCAGGTACTTACATCCCATTTTGGTTTCTTTTTAACAGATGCCTTTTTCTTTTTAGTAGTTATCCCTGAGTAACCAACTCTGTAGAATGACATGGCTTAATTATATATCTGAAATTAATTTAAAGATATATTATGGGAGATTAGATAAAGAACTGGAAGTTCTCACTATAAATATAATAATAATAGTTAAAAACTAGATAATGTAAAGGGGATTTGCTGAAAATTTCAGTCAAATTTAACCACTCTGAACCAAGATTTTAGCAATTGAATTTTCGGCCTAGGCTAGTCTTGATTATTCATTTCATGATTAAATCATGAATGAAAGTTGAGCAGCAAATCGGACCCTAATCCAGTAAATATCGCAGACTAGTGTTGACATCGAGAGTTGATTATTGTCTGGATAAGTTAATTAATGTCTAATTAATAATTTAGATAACATTTCAGGCCTAAAGAAAGACCTGCATTAGGCAGATTTAGCTGAAAATTTCAGTCAAATTGATCCACTCTGAACCAAGATTTTAGCAATTGAATTTTCTGCCTAGCCTTGATCATCATTACTAAAGTCGGTACGATAAAAAACATAGTCTTGATTATCCATTTCATGATTAAATCATGAATGAAAGCTGGGCAGCAAATCGGATCCTAATCAAGTAAATATCACAGGCTAGCGTTGACATTGAGAGTTGGTTATGATCTGGTTAAGACAAGTTAATTAATGTATAATTAATAATTTAGATAACATTTCAGGATTAAAGAAAGACGTGCATAAATAGGAATGTTAATTAATGTTAATTAATGAAGATGTGAGGCTAAGCTAGGACTTGAAGGTAGGCAGCAGACTTATAAATCTTTACCGTACCCATATTTTGTCTAGACTGCTAGCTGAATCTCTTTGACTTTGTTATTCAACAACATATAATCATTGTACATCCAATTCATATAAATTGATCTCAGACGATTCCATTACCAAGCAATTTCTCAAGAACTAAGAGTTAAAATTGCCAACAGAACCCTTATCATCACTTCTACATTTTATTTATAAGCTTCAATTGCTGTTGTTTTTTTTAACCTAGTTTCTTTATCAGTCTATCAAGAAGCTGCAGGGTTAATTTTTTTAGGTATACTTTAATACATTTAAACAATGTGTAGGCTATTCTATAACAAGTGCCGAAATTGCCAAAGAAAAACAAAACCAACTTTCATATGAGTGCCACAATTGACTTCACTGGACACAAACTAGGTCATTTCGGGACTAACATATTGTTACAATTTTGAAAGTAAAAATGCCAATTTGGCACAAAGAACAGTAGGCTATAATATCATACATTGATATAAATCACTATTTTATGAGTTGAAATACCACATGGCCCTAGCTCGGTAGTCAGTATTCTATCTTCACATTGTGATTGTCAGTTTGAGTTTTCTTGTACAGACTTGTCTATAGTATTTATTTTGTTTATCTTTTTGAGAATATAAATGTCACGTATGGCCTCTATTTGACTCCTAATTTTTTATAAAACCTACATTTACTGACATAGAAATCAGAAGAAAATGGGAACCTGTAACCAAATCCATGAATAATAACACGACTGTTTACTTTTGGAACAGCAAAATATTGTTTACAATCTGCTAACCTACTTCTCTTCAATCAAAGATCCCGCTGGATTGAAGAATTAGTTTGACGGGAGACTACTCCGGCGTCGAGGAAAAAACATCGGCGACATGCTATCTTTTTACAGAAATACAAAAGTATGAATAAAATTGTATTTGTTGTGAAGTTTGGGTTGATATCTAAAATGGAATAAGTTTGGAAAATATATTATTAACATGCCATATTTCTTTTAAAAACCAGTTCTTTTCAGGTTTAGGAAAAGCACATAAGATTTCTGTTGTAGTATACTACAATTCAGTCTTTTTGCACTTTGGCTGTTCGGGCTGTTCAGTGAAATTACTGGTAGACCGAGATGACCAGACGCCTGCGCGAAACGAATGCGCAACGTTTATCGAGCTCCGCGAGAAAAAAGCTAAATTGGGAACGGCAAATGTTTGCTATTATCTCATTGTTATTGGATTAATAGACGGTAAGTATTCATTCTACAGTGTCGCGGATCTGTAGACTATACACTGGAGTCAAATTCTGTATATCTCACTTATTAATAGTCTTATTTAAAAGTGTAAATTTAATGAAATTCGGATTCTTTGTTCAACCAAGAGTCAATTTTTCTTGTGAAAACAAGGTCGTCGAAAAATGGCTGCTATATCACTATATGTTCTATTTGTTATTAATGTTCCTCTCATTTTAGCAATTTTAAACAATAAACTTGATTTGATTTCAATTTTTTAAAAATCTTTTGATATGGCGATCACAGGGAGGGATAACCACAACATATAAAGCTTTCAGCTTATTGTTTTATGCGAATGAGACGATCACAACTCTGCTGACAAATCACAGACTATATTTTTTAAATCCAGGACCTTATCAGATCATCAAGTAGGATGGTATTTTACCCATTTTAAACAGTAAACCACATTTAATTTCAAATTTGAAAAAAACAACTTTTGATATGGTAATCATAGCTAGGGATAACTATAACATATAAAAAAGCTGTCGCCTGTCAGCATTTTAACATGCAAATGAGGCGAAAGTTCCAGTGCCTGAGCACTCTAACTCAAAGCCTAATAAAAAAAAAAAGAAAGTAAAAACAATAACAACTCTGCTGACACAGTCACAGACTTTATTTTTGAATTCCTTGTCAGATCATGTATCTTTTATGGTTTCTCCTTGTGTACCCACAATTGGGCAAATAATTTAACAGTTCGTACAATTCCTTTCAACAAAGATTTGTGCGTCTAGACTACTGCAACGGGTTGTTGTTCCAGTGAGTAAAACACTGACTTTCAGATAGACTTAAGCAATTTCTCTGAAAAGATCGTTAAAGAGAAAGAAATAAGATCCTCGCTACATTAACTAGTCATTTCAGGGCAGTCATATTCCTGTGTAGGAGTACGCAGTACAGATTAGCTTAGGCTGGTATATCATTTCACAGGTATAAACTAAGCTTTCCTCTAGGTTCCCTAAGCATGAAAAACTACAGCCAAACTCCACCAGAATTTTTGCCACAAGAAATACTGAAGAAATAAAAGGTGTCAGTCAGTTTTCCCATTATACATTGTGAACAACTAAAATACATTTATGCAATATCACAAAATAGTAAGTTGAAGCCATAAGATTGGGATAGTTTGGCCTGTATTTACGAATAGTGAACGTTCTTTAATACCAAATAAAATTGTATATTAATTTTCGTGTTTGAATTATTTATACCTGTATCATTAAATATTTTGTCTTGGTTTGCAAGAGGAAGCTATATGTTGATGTTAACAAGATATTCAAATTAATCAAGTACTAGAATGTTGTTAGTTATTTGTTTTTTATCTTGCAGAATTTTCATAGGGTGTTGTCTCTTATATACTAACAAGCCACAATGGCTTCCGAAGATGGAAACATGATGAATTCTACATCTCAACAGCAATACCCACAAGTGAGTTTTCAAAGTACAAGAATATTTACTCTCTCTGAACCGTGCTGACAAAAATGTCAGAGTATCACTAACTGGCAACTCGACAGCTTATTGTCTTAGGGAGAGGTTATTTTATGGTCAAATGGTTAGGCGGTTTTGGGAACATTGAGGGGTTTAAACTTGCAAAATAAGTGGAAAAAGTAGTTGGCAGAAAATAATTCAAGAATTTACTTAGGCCTCAATATGTATGGTAAATGGACAGTTAAAGATACATTATGGGAGATAAGATAAGAGGTGGCAGTTCTCGCTATAATAGTTAAAAACTAGATAGTGTAAAGGTAATTTGCTAAAAATTTCAGTCAAATTGATCCACTATGAGCCGAGAAAGAAGCGGGTGAAATTTTTGCATAGTCATCATTATTAAAATCATTAATATAAACAGCATAGTCTCGATTATCCACTTTACTTGATTTAATTATCAATAGCCGTTAGCGGCATATAGGAATCTAATTCAGCCAACATCGAAGGCTAGCCTTGACATCGAGAGTTTATTGTGGTCTGGATAAGTTAATTAATGTCTAATTGATAATTTAGATAACATTTCAGGCCTAAAGAAAGACTTGTAATAAGCAGATTTTGCTCTTGCATAATGCATGTTTAAGTGATGACAAATACACCCTGAAAAATGGTCCCTCTCTCAATCAAGTTAGGTGACACACATGGCTTCTAAAAATAGATTGTTAATAGCTTGGGGTATCTCCTTGCAGATACAAAGTTTTGAGAATTATTTGAAGCCAATTTTTGATAATTAATTAGTTTGTATAAGTTTTTGGTCCAAACATATCATTAAATCACACACTTTGTATACTAGAAGGTATTTTTAAAAACAATTAATTTGTTCTTAAAAAATTCGGTATAACTGAGAATAATTTGTAAGGAATAAGCTGATAAAATTAAAAGAAGAAAAATTTGATATTTTATAATGTGATGGTTGGTATGTAATACTGAGGTGGTCGTAGAGTGGCATTTTACTGTGTCCTGTTGTGGTATACTTACATTGAATCAATGTTATTATCTTTTTTTTCCATAGCCTATGAATAAAATGGATGATAAAAATATGCAGGATGACTCAAGATATCCTCACATGGGAAATATAAGTAACAGAGGAAGACCAGGAATGGGAGGACCTCTGTCTGGAATGCCCGGACAACAAGGAATGAATCCACAACAGAATATGCCAGGAGGACCTATGCAAGGTATGCCAGGTGGACCAATGCATGGGATGCCAGGATCACATAACATGGGTGGGAACCCTGCTTCTGGAATGTCTTCTGGACCTCCTCCAGGAATGCAAGGTGGACCAAGCCCAAGTATGCCATCAGGTCCATCACCAGGAATGCCAGGAGTTCCATCTCCAGGAATGAGAGCTGTACCTTCTCCAGGAATGAGAGCAGTACCATCTCCTGGTATGAGAACAGGTTCCTCCCCTGGAGCACAGGGGCAACCAATGTCAAGTGGACCACAAGGTATTTAGCACATGATTTCTAATTTTAAATAGTTTTTGTCAAAAAGGATCAGGTATTGTTAAAAAAAACTACTGAAACGAAATTAAATTATTGATGGAATATTTATACAATTGGTCAAAAAAGGTCATGTATTGTTAAAGCATTACTAAAATGAAATTTAAATATTTGACCAAATATCTATATATATTTTTTTATAGGAATGCATGGGGGTCCTCCAGCGCAAGGTATGCCACAAGGTCACCAGGGCGGTAATCAAGGAATGCCAGGTGGACCATCTATGGGTATGCAAGGTCAGCAACCAAATATGTCAGGACCTAATAATATAGGTGGACCCAATATGCCGAATTCCAACATGAATAACCCTAACATGCCACCAAATATGCCTCCAGGGGCAATGAACTCTGGTATGAGTGGACAGAATATGGGTGGACCAGTCATGAACATGGGACCTGGAACAGGTGGACCTAATACAACAATAGGACCCAACATGCAACCCAGTAATATGAGTGATCCAGGCTCTAATATGCCTCAAGGTGGTATGAATATGCCAAATTCGGGAATGAATGGTCCTTCACCAAATGTTAATAATATGCCTGGTGGTGGGATGCCTAATGTACAAACTGCTGCTATGGGTCCGCCTAATCAATCCATTGATGGAAATCAAGGTAAATAATTTACTATTTAAGAACCAAAATTAAAAACATATGCTTTCTGTCAAATTAGTAACTAAGTAAGTTTAAAATCTGACACAAAATTGGTAAAATATGAATTTTAAGAGCTGTTTAATGGAGTTCTTTCTAGCATTATAATTTTTTTACTTTTTTCCAAAATGATTGTATTGGTAAGTTGACAGATCTATATTTTGTATCTGTTTTCAGGTGGCATACCAGGACCAAGAACATCATCATTCGCTAATCCACAGCTCCATCAATTAAGAGCTCAAATCATGGCATATAAACTGATATCTAGAAATCAACCCATTCCAGAAACCTTGAGATTAGCTGTAGAAGGTAAACGACCACTTGGACCATTCCCTAGGACAGGTACATGTTGTTGATATGTCATTTATTAACCCTTTCAATGCTAGACGTAAATCCACTGCCTGTGCTAGACCCTTTTTTGAGGAAAAAAGGGAGGTTGGAACTGAATGCCAAGCAGTACTTATGGAAGCTTTTATGAAAAATCTTTTTGTCTGTTGGGATGGGCATGAGGTTGGGCTAAGAGGAAAAAATAGAATTTTGGAAATTTGCATAATAATGTAGTCACGTGACGTCATGGCGGCCATTTTGGATTTCTCATTTCACACTAAAGCTAACACGAAAACGAATTTTTCTCCATGAAATACTTAAAAGATATTGTTTTTTTACTGGATTTTGATAAAGATATATAAAATGAACAAAAATATCAATAGCAGCCATGAGCAATGCCGCCGCGAACACGCGCATCACGTCTCCCGCTGCCATGACCACGTGCGGATTGCAATACCTTGATTTTACTTTCACTTTCACTTTCATCCCCAAGTCCTATATCATTATCAATATAGTCAGTCAATAGATCTACACGTTCGGGAATCAGGAATTACCTACGTATTTTACGATCCAGCAGGCCAGCATTATTATCAACATCAGAATTATTGTCAGAATCTACTGCAGACACAGGGCTAGCGTGTTCACATTGGGCTTGTTCATCATGCACGGGAGACATAGCTAGCCATGGGCGGAACGTCGCGCAACAAATCACACACTTCATAATACCAATCACTGTCCTGACTACTATCATTATCAAGTAACTGGAAACGAATTATGTGTATCACCCGCCTCGAAATTGTCCACATGTTGGTCAGCAAGACGTCATTCACGACTTCGTCGAGAGTGCATCGTCTACGTTGTCACAATGCACTCCGCCATTTTACGGTTTGCCGCTTTGAAACACGTGGAAATATGTTCTAGTGTATAGAAAATACAATAGATGGCACTTGCAGTTACGGTACTAATTTTAGCGAGGGCTTTACTGAGTACACGGTAATACCGGGTACGGGCATTTTACCGACATTTTATAATACCCGGTACTACCGGGTATACGCAGTGAAAGGGTTAAGATGATATTATACAAATGGCTAGATGTATTACAATTTTCTTAATATTTTTGATATTTATTTATAGCTACAGTGCAAATGATTAAACTTTCTGGGTTTTTAGAAACTGTTTTCTGCTTGTAGCCTATTATAAGTTATAACTAAATTCATATCTATAGTCCTGGTCCATGTATTGTAGAGAGCCCTTGACATTGATCTCTTGAAACCCCCCCTTTAATGAAGTTTGCAGTATTGAAAGCTGCATTTTTCGGACAATATATAATAGTTCATGGCTTAATTCACACTAAAGTGTACATTAAAAAGTTTTAGCTAAGGTTATACAGTAGGATGCCAAATGTTGACAAATTTTCATCATATGTTGGTAAATGTGGTAGAACCATTTTGTACTGAGATTTAATTTTGATAATATTGTAGTTAGCAATGGATTAAACATCTCTCAAATGATCAGAGATTTTGACATTTCAATTTGACATCTTTCAATTCACTTATTGATGCAGTGCTTAAATATTGAACTTTGTGTACTTGCAGGAGATGTTCATCAACAAATGAGAATGCAACATCAGGCTCCAGGTGCTCTACCGCATCAACAGATGCAACCCATGGGAAGACCACCAACATCAATGGATGGACCGGGTGGTGATCACCAACCAAGTACTGACAGTGATTCCAGCACCCCCAAACCTCCCACAACTAGTACTCCCCAACCATTACCAAATCAACCAGCCCCTCCCCCATCAGTACAAGCTATGATGGCTCTTCAACAAAAACAAAATCGTGTGGCACCAGTTGAAAAACCTAAGGGGCTAGACCCTATTGAATTGTTAAATGAAAGAGAAAATAGGTAATTCTAATTTTACTATTTGAGGTGAATTGCACACTTTTGCCAAAGTTTAATGTTTGATGGAACTTTTAGCAAAATCTATTCCATATAGCTTTATAGACTTATTATGTGACTTAGCTCCTGTGCACTGATATTTATTTCGCCATATAATAAAAAAAAAGTATCACCATAGTAGGTTTTTTTTTACCAAAGGCAATTTGGAGGACCCTGTTTTACCCTGTCATAACAACAGCTGAATGAAATCCAGAGCAGAGCTGAAGTTGAGCAACAGATTATCTGGAAATGATATTACACCATCTTTATCTTTTAGGGTTGCTGCTCGAATAAGTCAAAGAATTCAAGAGTTATCCAACCTACCAGCTACAATGTCGGAAGATTTGAAAGTCAATGCTATGATTGAATTGAGAGCTCTGCGTCTATTAAATTATCAACGAACTGTAAGTAGCCTTTTTATTTTAGTGTAAGATATTGATCATAACTTCATTCTTTTAATGTAGAAAGTTTTACCCGAGATCTTCAGCTGATAAAATAGATTGAGTTATACAACATATATCTAAGTCTTAAAAACTGTTTAAAACATTTCCTGCCCCCTTTTTAACCATAATTAAATGGCACCAGTCTCTTATTGTTGAATACATTTTGAAAGAAAATAGTGTATTATTGTTGTTTATAAATTATTTGATACCTTTTACAGTTGCGAGCTGAAGTTGTGTCATGCATGCGAAGAGATACAACATTAGAGACAGCCCTTAATACTAAAGCTTATAAGCGAAACAAGAGGCAGTCGTTACGTGAAGCACGTGTTACAGAAAAACTTGAGAAACAACAGAAGGTTGAATATGAAAGAAAACGCAGACAAAAACACCAGGTAATATTTTAAAATTTAATCAGTTTCAGGCTTGCAGGAACAAGAAAACCAATAGATCAGGAAGTTCAAAGGCCCTTTGTTTTGCTTTAAAAAGCTTAATAAAAAGCACAAATACTGTTTATTTTGGTGGTGTTTCTGAATATTAATTCGTAAAATTGTGAATTTTAACAAATAATATACGAATTGGAATGCTCTGCCAGGTGTGTTTTTTTTTCTAGATTAAAAATCATAATAACAAAAATATTTGGAGTATTCAAATTGTTATTGTTTATAAAATTATATTATAGGAATATTTGAATGCGGTAATACAGCATGCCAAGGACTTCAAGGAGTTCCACAGAAATATAACAGCTAAGATTGGTAAATTAAATAAGGCTGTAATGACTTACCATACAAATACTGAAAGAGAACAGAAGAAAGAACAAGAAAGAATAGAGAAAGAACGTATGCGCAGACTTATGGTAAGCTAAAGTTTTATAGCACTATATAGGAGATAAACTCTACATGTTTCACATTTAGATGGGTGTTATTGTCCCTTAGTATATATTTACATCCTCATAAGCTTAATATTTTTGTGTAGTTTGATTACCGGTACATTAGTTTAAGTATTGTTTTAAGTAGCAGATGTGAATTTGGTACATTTGATCTCTTGTATAATGTTACAAATTTCTATGTTTTACTTTTGTCAGGCTGAAGATGAAGAAGGTTATAGAAAGCTGATTGATCAGAAGAAAGATCATCGTCTGGCTTATCTCTTAGATCAAACTGATGAGTATATATCTAATATTACTAAACTAGTCCAAACACATAAAGAAGACTTGAAGAAAAAGAAACGAGAAATGAGAGGAAAGAAAAAGAAGAAGGTTCCTAAGGTATATAATTTTAAGAATATGAAATCTTTTTATGTTGGGGAACAAGAGTTGATTATTTGAAATGCATTAAATTGTAATCCATTGCAATTTGTGTATATTTCTTTAGCCTCTTGCAATCCAGTGAGATGCGAAAACAGACATAAACCAAACATACTTCATCCCAGTTTCAGACATCAAAATAGCATTTTTGAATATTTGATGATCAGGACTGAAATCACATTGGTCAATATTTTCCTTACCAAACATTAGGGCGAATGTATTGAACAATTCGGGTGCATGTTGCATCCATTGTAAATTAAAAATGATGACCAAATTCAATGGCACAAAGTGTTGGAAGGGGGATGTAAATATATTCACCCTGCAACCAAAATCTATCCTAGAATAAGATAAATATAATTTTGAAATCTGGAATCATTTTAACAATTCACGATTTCCAAACTGACCTTACAGATTGAAGCTGGGGCAGAAGCCCAACTTATGGAGGTAAGTAGGCTACATTATTTGTGGCATTGTTCAACAGAAATTAGTTCTGTTGGCCTTATAATCTTTGTAGTTTTACATCATTTAGTTGCTTATAAAAATTTACAGCTTCAGATAATCAGTTTTAATACCATACTTTCATTAATTCATTCTAGTCTTGATGTGTTTTAAAGCTATTTCAGTGTTGCCTGCGTGTGTATTGTGTTTAGATACAAACTGATCAAATTTCATTTTAAATGATGATCTGTTTAGCATGGAAATCATTTAAACCTGGAGATTTTATTACAATTTGATTTTGTCACAATCAGATTTAGTAATCTAGTTTACAGTATGCACCTTATTCTAGCACAACATTCCTATTTCATAAAGACTGCGAGTTTTACAACATCTGGACGTTGCTAGATTTACATCACAATTCCCAAACTTATAGCTACGTTATCTACAGACACGTGAACACTAACGTCCAATCAGAAGTTGTGACATCGCGACCTCCACGGAAACCTTGACATTCAACAAACCTTGAACTTTGCAACTTGATTATCAGAGCTAGATATTTTAGTGTGAAAGCGTGAGACTTGGCATTCGCTACGACCGAGGAATCTGATAGGCTCACAAGCTGGGCTTGTACCCAATCAAAATTAGTGCCGCAATATGCAGGGTATTGCGTGAAGGACTTGATAAGATGTAGTTAAAGCGAGATCAAGCCTTCAATTGAAGATGACTAAATACATACGTCACTGTGTGAACTGTGTGAGTGAAATATTGGATTGTTTATCATGTCCTATTTAACCTTTTAGTTCAAGTATATACAAACAGATTTTAGAACTAAACAATTTTTGTCTAGTTTAGAGTGCTAGATATTATTTAATGCTTTGTTAGTGTTTTTTTGTGTGTATTGGAAAGAAAAGGCATAAGCTTATGCTTTATCTAGCTTTATTAAAGGGGGTAACTAGAATTGAAGTCTCAAGCTTCATATTATCTAGGGAACAAATTTTAACTGTTCATCACATTCTGTATTGACTTTAATTATACAAACGACTACATATTGATTTTATATTTTTAACTGTACATGTACCGACTTGAATCTTTGAAAATAAAGTATGATGATTATTGTTTTGATAATTTCTAAATTGGTCATTTGAAAAATTAAAATATGTATAATGACCAATACTATTCTCTGATTGTTAATTGATTTGTCCGAAATACACTAGTTGATTCTCTGTGTGTGTGTGTGTTATACATAGTTTTATATAGTGTTTATTAATGTCTATTTTCAGCCTATTGATGAACTATCTAATATGAGTAATCCAGAGAAGCGTTTAACAGTAGTACATACTGCTACTGGTCATATTATATCTGGGGATGATGCACCATTTGCTAGAGATATACAAGAATGGATGGCTCAGAATCCTGGGTATGACCATACACTTTATGTTGAAAGTATTGACTGACAATTTAAAAATTAGTTGCCTTGTGAATTTGACTGCCTGTTGTGACTGTCAAAGCTTGCGAATCAAAGTCTGTTATTGTCCCCCACCTTTCAAAGAAAGCAGGGGACTATTAAAATGGGTTCGTCCGTCTGTCTGTCCGTCACACTTATTGGGACTCAGTAACTATCCTTCTAATTGAGCTAGAATGTTCAAACTTGGTGAGAGTGATGAAACTTGATGTATAGTTTCATTACATCAATACCTTGACTAAGATCGATAAGGAGTATTTTCTGCTCAGGGTAAGCAGACCGATGAGCAATTTGATTGGTCGAGACTTTGGAACACAATAACTCTCCTCCTAATTGAAGTAGAATGTTTAAACTTGGTGTAGGTGTTCATTAGGTCAATACCTTGATGGAGATCGATGATAAACATTGTATGTTTACGGTAAGCAGAGATAAGCAATCTGATTGGTTGATGCTTTGGGGCACGATAACCTTGGTTATAATTAAGTGAGAGTGATGAAACTCTGAGCATAGATTCATTATATCATTACCTTGACTAAGTTTGATGATGAGAATTTTCTGCTTATGCTTAGGTGAAGGAGTGATAAGCAATTTGATTGGTCAAGATTTTGGAACATAACAACTCTGCTTTTAATTGAGGTAGAATGTTTAAACTTGATGTTCATGTAGATGTTCATTACTGAGTTCAATGATTAACATTTCGAGCTAAAGCTAACCAGAGCTAACCAATTTCATTGTTCAATGCTTTGAGACAAGATAACTTTGATTCTATCTGATAGAGAGTGATGAAACTTAGAGGATAGTTGATAATCAGTTTGATTTTTTGATACTTTTGAAAAAAATAAATGTGCGATTATTAATGTGTCATCTATTATTTATTTTGGGGTTTCGGCGGGGGACATCAGCCTCACTGTTGGCTTGTATTTTGCTTGGATTGGAATCTGAGGTAGAATAACTTCATGGTATGACAATACATTTCAGCAATCTGTTGAATTTGTAATAAAACTGTGTAAATTTTATTACAGATTTAGACAAAAATAATCTTGTTTTAATCTAGAATTTAGGCACTTGTTTACAGTATCAATGTTACACCAAGAATAACCCCTTATTAACATAATGATTTAATATTCTTCAAATTCATATGGATAAGCTAATTCCTGTAGGGCTGCAACAGTTTTTAATTTGACTATGAATTTGTTTTCTATAGTTATGAAGTACAGAAAGATGAGGATGATGATGATGATGAGGAAGATGAAGAAGAAGAAGAGGTAATTTAATATATTCTTTATCAAAATAATACAGCATTATAGTTGCAGTGTTTGAAGGAAAGTTTAGTATAATCTTGTCCTCCTTGTGGTTTCAATACACAAAATAGTGTGATCTGATTTGTATTAGAATTAAAATCGGTTGAACAATCTTTATATAATTAGATAATTTATTACTTTAAGTAAGTTTAATTACCAGCAATTAACAAATATTTCTTCTGCAATGCTTGTTTTTATTTTTAGAGTGAACCAGAAGAAGAACATAAAACACCAAACATTGTAACGTAAGTATAATAATCATATTTACATAACAACATGTCCTAATTGTAGGCCAGGTTCAAATTAACATACAGTGCACTCTGTCACATCTGACCTCTGATCACTCCGGCACTCTGTTACATCCGACACCATTTTCATGTCCCGATTTATTTCCTTATTACTTCAGCCAAAGAATCTCTGGGTATGACATCAATCAGCCATCCCATCATACGATTTCCATTAAATCGACACCGTATAATCCAGCCTTCAATCGGTGGGTGAGAAGCAAACACTTACCGATCAATTATCCGTGAGATTAAAACTGGATGGGTGTGAAGCCACAAAAGATTAACAAGCAATCACCAATCAATTATCTGTGAGATTAAAACTCGCTACTGTGGTTCTTTGTTGATTACTTTGATAATTTTAATCTCTTGTACGACAGTTGTGACAAATACTCAAGAATATCCACGAATTTTCCCCCCAATTCACAGTCGTAAAAGTATTCCTAGCACCTGTTGGAAACATTCGTTGCGCATGCCGATTGAACCTGAATAACCTATAAGTTTGTTCACCTTACAGATCTCTTCGAACCGTGTGACGATGCTCGATTCGATTCACAATCCGGAACGTCCCAAATTGACAGAGTTTGTTCACCCTACGGATCTCTTCGAACCGTGTGACGATGCTCGATTCAATTCACTATCCGGAACGTTCCAAATTGACAGAATTGCAATCGAGTGACGCGGAATTCAGTCCTGTCACAGTTCTGTCAGTCCGACGAGGTGTGAGTAGATTTGTGACGTAATTAAGCATGACAAACAGGTTTCTGCTGCATGGTTGGATGAGATATTTATATATCCAGTAGACGCATGCGTTGTAGCACGAAGTACCCATTTTCACTCTATTGTCAATATTTTTGGGATTGGGAGAATTCAATTCCGGAACATTCAATCGAGTACGCCCATTATCAATGAACACGTGATAGCAAAGACAAGAGTGCGATCAACTGAAGACGGCGAAGAAGATAAATTAACAACAGACTTGACCTATTCAAAATTCCTACGCATGTTAAATGAAATAAAAAGTAATGTAATAAAATTTTGAATATACAGAAAGGTTTGTCATTTTCAAAGGGAATAACATTCAGGTGATTGAAGTTCTATTTTCGAAGCTACATTATAATAATACTTCCGGTTTTCAAAGTTACAATTTTTCCGGTTTTGAGAAAACTGGGTATTCCGACACTCTGCGTAATCCGACATATTGTAACGATCCCGTACGATGTCGGATGTGACAGAGTGCACTGTACTATAAAATGAGAAATGCCTTTAAGAACCCTTGCAGAAGCACACATCCAAAAGCATTTTAATTTCTTTATTTATAACATGTTAGATATCAATTAAATGGTTATTATTATTTAAAGATTTTATTTTGATATTTGATTATAGACCAGCAAGAGATGATGATGAATATACTGTGGACAGTGAATCTCTCAATTATTATGGTATAGCCCATACTATACGTGAAAAAATTACACAGCAAGCTTCTATAATGGTTTACGGTAAACTTAAAGAGTATCAGGTAAAAAAATAATTCAGTTCTAATCCTGAAAACAGTATCTCAATCAAAATTTCCTTATTCATTTATTTTGAATTTCCCCTGTTAAAGTTTTATATCCCTTGTGTTACACCATTCCTGAACACAAGGTTAAAAGAGCATCTCAGAAAGACAGATATGTAAGCACTGTCTTTGACTTTATTGATAATTTTGAAATATTTTTGACTTTCTTCAGGTTCAAGGTTTAGAGTGGTGTGTATCTTTGTATAATAATAATTTAAATGGTATTTTGGCTGATGAGATGGGTCTTGGTAAAACTATTCAGACTATAGGTCTTATTACGTACATGATTGAAAAAAAACGTGTCAACGGACCTTTCCTGATTATTGTACCATTATCGTAAGTTGATTACTTTTTACTAATGTATAAACCTAACAAAAGAATTATACAGAATCTAGCAATAGAAATTTATCCAAAAGTTATAATGATATTCCATAGTCGATGTGGTACTCAGTGCTCTGCTTTTTGGCATAACTGATTGTTACTACCCATGGTCCAACACAGTTTAAAAGGTGCATCACAGAACTGCACTCTTTGATTTTTAATATTTGTCAAGAAAAGGAATATGATAGCATGTTTTGTTTTATTTTAGAACGTTATCTAATTGGCTTATGGAATTTGATCGATGGGCTCCATCGGTGGTGAAAATAGCTTATAAAGGCTGTCCACAAACAAGAAGACTGTTAGCACCACAATTAAAGTCAGGAAAATTTAATGTTCTCTTGACCACTTATGAATACATCATTAAAGATAAATCAGTTTTGTCCAAGGTTAGTAGTTTTGATACCTGATACATATAAATCCACAGTACCTGGGAACCATGGTGGCTCATTGAGTATAGCCCTGACTGAATCCTGGTATTGGCCAAGAATGTTCCACTTTATTTTCCAGCCTGATTTACCCTTGTTAGTGGTTCAGGACAAAGATGTTCTATTCGTTTGGATGAGACAAAAATAATGAGATCCTCCTGTGTACTATGTGTCATGTATGTCAAAGAACCGAACCCTTTACAGAATTCGATAACGAGTCAATAGAAATACTGCCATCTGGGCAAAATGTACCCTTATAGAATACTGAATGGCTCATTAGTCCATTTGGTGAAGAAAAATAGGACATTAAGCCACATTTCACTCTAAGTGAAACTGTTATTGACCTTGAATTCTTTGAAAAGACATTTCAAAAATGATGGAGAGTAGTAATAAAGGATTAAAAGTACAAATTTCTTTTATTAATAAAATGCTTTTGTCAATATATTTCTAAAGATTTATTAATTTGTTTTAATTTAGTTCCGTTGGAAATATATGATCATAGATGAAGGTCATAGAATGAAGAATCATCATTGTAAATTAACATGTGTATTAAATACATATTATGAAGCTCCACATAGACTGCTATTAACAGGAACACCTTTACAGGTAAGTTATTCTCTGTATAAAATAGATAAATAAACAGCAGCATCTGTAATAAAGCTTCCAATTCCAAATGGCATTTTCACAAAAAATATCAGTAGATCAAGTGATTAAATAATTTCTCAATTACTAATTAATAAGCATAATGAAAACTACAAAGTAATCATATTTGATTTTAATTTACTCATTGTTTCATTTTACAGAACAAACTACCAGAATTATGGGCATTGTTAAATTTCCTGCTACCCTCTATATTTAAATCAGTAGGAACATTTGAACAGTGGTTTAATGCACCTTTTGCCTCTACTTTAGAAAAGGTAAGATGGATTATCTATTTTCAATACAGCTGGGTTCTTTATAAATGGTTAATTAATGTTATTAGTACAGTACTCAGATATTATTGATGGCCAAAGTTAGAAAATTGTATTTAAGATAATTGTTTTGTTAATTGTTGCTCATACTATATTTAGGTTGAACTAAATCAAGAAGAAACTCTTTTGATTATTCGACGTCTTCATAAAGTACTACGTCCATTTTTATTGAGAAGATTGAAAAAAGAAGTAGAATCACAGTTGCCAGACAAGGTATTGAAATTATTGTCATCAGCCTTTCAAATAAAACAATGGAAGATTAAAACGAGTTTGTTCAGTCCATTAACCTGTTTGTCACACTATTTGTTACACAATAAATCTGCTTCTAATATTGTACTAGAATGTCCAAACCTGGTGTAGTTGTTCATTGGGTGAATGTCTGTATGAGTTTGATGAGCATTTTCTACACAGAAACTTGGTGTACAGTTCCATTATATCAATATCTTGACTGATATAAGTGATAAAGGGATTGAGGCAGGGGACACCAGCCCCACTGTTGGCTTGATTTATTTGATGTTAGTCGTAAGATTTCTATTCCTTGACTTTGGGATATGTATTGATGCAGTTGGAATTTGTACAGGAATATTCTGCAATTTGTTCCCTGCTTTGTATAGAAAATATAATTAACCAAATCAGCACCAAAAATTACACTGAAAATACAGTGTTTTCTTGGTTCTAATACAAAGGTTGATATATGTGTCAACTTTCTACATAAATACTGATTATCGTATATATTTTGCTCTTATTTTAGGTGGAATATGTGATAAAATGTGAGATGTCCGCTCTTCAAAGAACACTGTATAAACACATGCAACATAAAGGTGTTCTTTTAACAGATGGCTCGGAGAAAGATAAAAAGGTACTGGTTCTATTATAATTGATTCCGTTTATGAAAGAATTTTATGATCGGACAGTATGGACATTATCCACCTTTGTTATCACAATGCTGCAGTCCTTTTATGACTTAATATAGAATATTAAAACATTTTTTCAAGTTATGTTCAATGCTATGGAGGAGAGTTGAGCATTTTCTGCTTGAGCAAAGCAAAGATAAGCAGTTTAATTGATGAAACGTACAAGTAATTAATGAGTGTAATTTATCTATTGTATGATAAAAGGTGGTGAACATCAGTCTCACTGTTGGTTTGTTTCTTAAACTGGGACCATCATTGTTATTAAATGCGAAAGTATACACTATTTGTTTATTACAGGGTAAAGGTGGTACTAAAACACTCATGAATACCATCATGCAGTTGAGAAAGATCTGTAATCATCCTTTTATATTTCAACATATTGAAGAAGCATTAGCTGAACATTATGGTATTCAGGGAGGCATTATAAATGGGTAGGTTTCATTGATATATACTATTCAAAAAAAGTAGGGGATATTTGATTTTTAAGTGTTATTAAAGTCACCTAATGAAACTGACGAAGAAACAAATGACAAAATGAAATGAAGTTCACATTCATCGATTTATTCCAAATGATCGTTAGACTAAGTAAGGCACAGACTGACCATTATAAGGGTAAAATGATACCCGGGGTCAAACAGCAAAGTTACCACAGCATCACAACCAAGTCAGTAACGGGTAAATCCTCCTCTGTTTGCCAAACAAGCATTGATCCGACGTGGCATACTCCTAATGAGACGTCTAAGGTCATTTTGGTCCAGATTGTCCCATTCCTGTTGCAACGCAGCAGCAAGTTCTTGGACATTGGCAGGACGTTGTTGACGTTGACGTAACCTCTGTCCAAGCATGTCCCAGACATGCTCGATGGGGGAGAGGTCGGGACTCAGTGCTGGCCAAGGTAATGTGGTGATGTTCTGTTGTTGGAGGTAACCTGTAACGATCCTGGCCCTGTGACATCTTGCGTTGTCATCCTGGAAGATGAAACGGCGGCCATGACATCGTGCGAATGGCACAACATGGACTGCCAAGATGTTGTCCCGGTAGTACTGGCCTGTAACACGCCCTGCAACAACATGTAAAGCCGTTCTTCCAGCAACAGTGATGCCTCCCCACACCATAACAGAACCACCCCCAAATCGATCATGTCTGATGACGTTAACGTCTTGGAAGCGCTCGTTTCGACGACGCCACACCCTCCTACGTCTGTGCAAAAAATCAACAATGAACCTTGACTCATCTGAAAACATCACATTGCTCCAGCGTCGATTATCCCAGTGTTGACGATCCCTACACCAACGACGTCTTGCCTGAATGTGATGATCTCTCAAACAAGGGATCACGCGAGGACGTCGGGCGCGAAGGTGACCCCTATGCAGTCGATTCCGAATCGTCTGGCCACTCACTCTCACACCAGTGTCTGTTTGAAGACGAGCGCTGATCTGATTTGCTGTGATGACACGATTTCTCAAGGCCAAGGTACGGATAAATCTATCCTGGGCTTGAGTTGTCGCCCTTGGTCGACCTGAGCGTGGTCTGTCCTGTACAGATTGTGTATCACGGTATCTGGACCATAGCCTGCTTATGACAAACTGAGAAACATTCATCGTTCGCGCCACAACCGCCTGTGTTGTGCCGATCTGTAGCATGCCAAGGGCACGTAACCTTTCATTTTGGGTAAGCCGACGCATATCAAAATTTGTTTTCTGGTCACTAAAACAATTAAACTGATGTTTCCACCCTGGAATTCAATGCCACAATGACTGTAACATTCAAAGTCAGAGTCGTGCAAATCTTGGGTTGGACCCCCATGATGATTCCAAGCATCACCTGCATTCCATGCGGTAGCTATTGGTGCGTTTGGGCGTCACATGCAACTGGAAATGTTTCTTCTGTTAGGTTCTATAGTGACTTTTTTCGTAGTCATTTGCATATTTTAGTATTATGCCCCCAAAATCAAATATCCCCTACTTTTTTTGAATAGTATAGTTTGGTAAAGCTTGTTGGCACATGTTTAGAAAATATGTTACTAAAGACATCACATTAACTGTCTCAAATTTAAAAAAAAAATGCAACTCTATTTAACTTATGTGATCGTATCTTTATAGTTCTCAGTATTGTTTTTGACTTACGAATTTATTGTCTACATTTTTAGACCAGAAATTTACCGAGCTTCAGGAAAGTTTGAACTACTAGACAGAGTTTTACCCAAGTTACGATCAGAGGATCACAGAGTGTTAATCTTTTGTCAGATGACAGCATTGATGAGTATTTTAGAAGATTTCTTTGTTAGCCGAGGTAAGTCTTTCATTTGAATGTTTTACTTTGAAATACTGTGAATTGTTAAGAAAGCACAATTGCAGGTGGCATTTATAACCTGATATGATATGGATGATTAATTTAACTGCATAGAATACTTCATATTCTCAATTATATAATATCATAGTAAATTTTTGCTGATAAAAATTAAAGACATTGAACAATAAAGAAGACAGTCATTCAGTGAACATATTACCAGATGCAGGCACTAAATGCATGTATTGTTTAATCTTTGATTTGATGGGCAGTTGAGCTACATATTCTGTTATATCAGTAGAGTGCAAGCCTTTCTGCTACCTCATATGTGAATTTTTGGACCAGGAACTGGTCACGAAGCTACTGTCCTTTGGTGATAACGCTCTTCAAAAGACTGCCAATTCAAGTATGATTGACATGGAATTTGGCAATCTTATTCCTTGGATTGATTAATTGACACTTGATTTTTGATATGATGTCACAGTTTCAAGATGGGTAGATGCTGTCATACCCAGTTCCTGGTCCATATAGTACTATTACACTTATTCTTATGTTGTGGTGCATTCATTTAGAGCAAATAAAAAGGAATGTAAATGTTGTTTTATTTGAATATATTTCAGGTTTCCGTTATCTGAGATTAGATGGTATGACAAAAAGTGATGATCGGGGCCATCTGTTGGAATTATTTAATGCTCCTAATTCTCCCTACTTCATCTTTTTACTGAGTACAAGAGCAGGTGGTTTAGGTTTAAATCTCCAATCAGCAGACACTGTGGTTATATTTGATTCTGATTGGAACCCGCATCAGGTAAACTTCTCTCTATAATACCTCTTTTAGTGATTGAGATATATAATAATTCCATTGTTCTTTACAAATATGATGAGCTCCTAGTAAAGTGAATGCACTAGTTTTATACTTTTCAATGGATTGATTTGGAATATATAATACCTGGGAGAAATTAACCTATACTTTGATTATATATAGACTTAATATAATACCTGGGAGTAATTAACCTATACATTGATTATATATAGACTTAATAAATGTATAAGTTGAACACAATCTAATGTTTTATATTTTGTCATTGATGTCTAGGATTTACAAGCTCAAGATCGAGCTCATCGTATTGGACAAGAGAAAGAAGTACGAGTGTTACGTTTAATGACTGTTAATAGTGTTGAAGAGAGAATCTTAGCTAAAGCTCGATATAAGTTAAATGTAGACGAGAAGGTTATTCAAGCTGGTATGTTTGATCAAAAATCTACTGGTATGGAAAGAAGACATTTCCTTGCTACTTTACTTACACAAGACGAAGAAAATGAAGAGGTAATAATATTAAATACAATGCGTATTGGTATATTTAATTTTTATATCAACATTGAAATTGTTCTACTGGTATCAAATATGTCATCCTTAGTCTAGTTCTGTATTACACAAACCACAATATGTGTCTTAAAATTACAGTTCTTTTTATAAAACAAGGTTGATTTTCATGTGTCATCAGGATCACATACTTGTGTAAATTGTATAAGGTGTAGTCAATAGATCTCAATTTGAAATTTTCTAAACTGATGACCGAGCATCCCACTAATGTCATATTGATTATAACATTGCTATATGTATACAGGAAGAAGACGAGGTACCAGATGATGAAACTGTCAATCAAATGATAGCTAGATCAGAAGAAGAGTTTGAAATATATCAGGTAATGATCTACTTTTGCTTACATTTTAAAAGAACCAGACAAATTTAGCCTAGCTGATCATTTAGTTCGGAGCAGAACAGTAGGACGTTAAACCCCATTTCATTTCCTAGCTGATCATTTAAACTACACAAACCATCAGGAAAATTAGGCACATGTAGCTTTCATAGATGCTAGTTATATATTATTGTATATGTAGACCAGTAGTTATATATGTTTGTATACCAGTAGTTATATATTATTGTATATTGTTGTAGAAAATGGATATAGATAGAAGAAGAAATGAAGTTAGAGATGGTAAACGAAAACCAAGATTAATAGAAGAAGATGAATTACCATCATGGATGATTAAAGATGAACAAGAGGTATGTAGAATATATATTAAAATATCTTCACTGATTATTTCTAAAGTTGTTTTAAACTGACATTTTAAGATAATCTTCAAATTCATTTCTCGGTCAAAATTTATTAAAATGTTTTGTTGTGCAATAAATGAAAGAGTGTTTTGGGGGTTTTATTTGCAAATGATTTATTATTTAAAAATAGTTACTGGTTTCTGTTTTAAAGATAGAAAAGCATTTATGATTGATCCAAACTCAGTTTTATTTGTATAAGAAAATTGGTAAAAAAAAAAGATATTAAAAATATTTTTTGATATTTTATTGTAGGTTGACAGACTGACGTTTGAAGAAGAAGAAGATAAATTGTTTGGTCGTGGTTCTAGATCTAGAAAGGAAGTAGATTATTCTGATGCTCTTACAGAAAAACAATGGATGAGAGTAAGTAATATATTCTTTTATAAAAATGGTTAGGAAAGGAAATCCCATACATAACGTAGTAAAGGCATCAATAATGTGATTGTAGAAAAGTATTTAAGAATTGAAGTCAGTCACTAAATTAACTTTGTTCTTTCAAAATATAAATTGTAAAGAACCTGAAAAATATATTGTTAAATATTTATGATTTAGATATAAACCAATTATGAAGTTGTTATTTTTTGGCACACTATAAAAGAATATATTCACCAATGACCTCCAATGTCTGTAACTCAATACCAAAGTTTCTGATGTATCTTTTGAAGCTATTTTTTACCCTGAAAAGTTCTTTGTAATTTGAACATGATGGTGTTTTAGGCTATAGAAGATGGTAATTTAGAAGAAATTGAAGAACTCCCACCTAAGCCTCGTAAACCGAGAAAGAGAAAGGGTGATTCTCCAGTACAAGATGCAAATACACCCAAAAAACGGCGTGGTCGACCTCCTGTTGAAAAGATGGCTCCAAATCCACCTAAGCTTACTAAATTAATGAAAAAAATACTTGATGTGGTTACCAAGTATAAAGACAAGTGAGTTGAAACAAACTTTTTTTTACACTTGTAGACTAAGAATACTGTATTGACATCATCCCAGGAAAGTTTGAATTAGATCACTTCCATGGAAAATTGTTCTTCATGTGCACATAGCCATAGAAATATAGAATTACCTGATAAGGGGGATACTTGATTTTATGTTCCGGTATTTTCTTGATCCCATAAAAAGGTTTCAATTGTGTAAACAAACGACCTATGGGCAGCAAGGCATGCAAAAACTAAATATGATGATATCTTGACCAATAAATTCGTCTATGTTCCATTACATTCTACTCTCACCACCTCTGTCGTCGGGACTGGCAGAATTGTGCAAGAATTATTTGCAATTCCATTAAGATAGAATGTTATACTGACAACTGAGAAGCAGCAATATAAGTATTAAACATGCATTATGCAAGAGCAAAATCTGCTTATTACAAGTCTTTCTTTAGGCCTGAAATGTTATCTAAATTATCAATTAGACATTAATTAACTTATCCAGACCATAATAAACTCTCGACGTCAAGGCTAGCCTTCGATGTTGGCTGGATTAGATTCCTATATGCCGCTTAACGGCCATTGATAATTAAATCAAAACAGTGGATAATCGAGACTATGCTGTTTATATTAATGATTTTAGTAATGATGACCGAGACTATGCGAAAATTTAACCCGCTTCGTTCTCGGCTCATAGTGGATCAATTTGACTGAAATATTCAGCAAATTACCTTTACACTATCTAGTTTTTAACTATTATAGCGAGAACTGCCATCTCTTTATCTTATCTCCCATAATGTATCTTTAAGTTAACAAAATGTAAATTTGTATGAAAGAGTTCTATTTAAGAATATTTCTTTGAAGTATACAATGTTAATCTGTTTCAGTGATGGTAGAGTATTAAGTGATATGTTTTTAACTCTTCCACCGAAGAAAGAACTTCCAGAATATTATGAAATTATTTGTAAACCGGTGGACTTCAAGAAAATTAAGGTAGATATCAATTGATTAGTAACTAAGCTTCTACATACATTTCGATAATTTTTTATGGAAAATTGAACAGGTTCAAGTTTCTTGATAATCATTTGAACAAAATTTAATTAAAAGTAGTTTTGAATATAAAATGAACTATAATTTATACGGTAAATATATTGTGTATGTAATTTGATTTTAGGCTAGAATAAAGGATCATAAATATAGATCCGTAGATGACTTAGAGGATGATGTCATGTTATTATGTCAGAATGCTCAAAGTTTTAATGTAGAGGGATCAATGGTATGTATTTTTGTCCAATTTTGATGAAACTTAAAATGTATGTTAATAACCCGACGGGTTAGTTCCTGTCGATATTGGCACATATCGGACCGTTACTTCCTGGATTGGCCTCTGATTGTACGAAACAAAATTTTTTTTAGCTTGTTCTCTGGCCATCTCTTGCAAAATTTGGACATATTTTGCACGGCAAGCATTTGATACTGTTGTGATCAGTGCAACACACTACTGATTTGCTATAATTTCACGACTTTAGTAACAAATAATGAATCAAAATTTGTGACAATCATAAGCAGTAAAGATAAGAATGTGAATGTCCTACCATGATTTTGATTTACAGAGATTTGAAGAATGATGTAGTGATGTAATTAAATCTGTATTATTTCTCCACAGATTTATGAAGACTCTATAGTACTACAGTCTGTGTTTACTAATGCTAGAGAGCGACTAGAGAAAGAGTTTAATATAGAGTCTAGTGATGAAAGTGGATCAGAAGAAGAGGATGGAGAGGAGGAAGAAGAAAAACCAGTTAAAAAATCTAAAAAAGGTGAAAGTTCTAAGAAGAAAAGTGCTCCTGAACCAGAGGTAGATATAATTTCATACATTTCACCAGAATCTAAATATTACTGTTATTCAGAATTGTTAACAATAGAATTTTTATGCCGTTAATAGTTAATAGATCTGTAGAAATTTCACATGGCTATTTATAACCTAATAATGTAATATACTCTAGATTATGCCTGTGGTCCATGTCTACCCTGTAATCACTTGAGAACTTGTCGTTTGAGCGTGAACATTCAAGTTGGGAAGTTAAACTTTTAATGGAACAAATTTTGACTGCATGACACCCTATCAGTGCTTTGTTTTACAAGTCCATTGATTCATGAATTTATTAATAGTATTATGTAGAGCAATGTCTGGATTATGCATGTTTAATGTTCTGGCATTAGAAACTATCAGAATTAAATTGTATTATTCAGATATCTTTTAAACTTTTAACAATGGATTTTGCTAATTATAAATAACTGTTATTTTAGGAGAAAGGAAGTGGTCGTAAAAGATTAACTAGAACAGCAAAAGTTAAGCCAGTTATATCTGATGATGATTCTGATGAAAGTGTGAGTAATATTTAATCTAGATTAATCAGTATCTGTTGATTGGCATAATTAGATGTCTAGTGTAATTTCATAGTCGCTGGCTTCCACACAAAAAAGGGAAAAAAATGGTTGGTCTGAACATCGGTCCGGCGTCCACTATTATTGCCCTTAATCACCCTTATGTCCGATAATTACTGTCCGAGAGTTATAGCCCTTGACTTCTTTGAATATTCTTGTTTACACTCTACAGACCAAAGTTATCATCCGATTGACTTTAAATTTATACATAGTGTTTATGGTCCGGAGACGACGAACCTGATAATTGTTGCTAGAGTTATGGCCCTTGATGTTGTGGATGCTCTTAAGAACAGAATTATCATCCAATTAATTTTAGCTTAATGCACAGTGTTAAAGGTCATGATACCACAAAATCTATTGTTTTTCAACAATTTCCGATAACTTGAACAGCTAAATTCATGATATTTAATGTTTTGTATACTTATTGTTAGCATGTGGCAGAACTAGAAGCCAAACAAATTGTAATGATTTCTGATAATTACTTAATGGGTAGTTACTCTTAATCATTACAGACAAAAGGACAAATATGCAACACCTCTTGTTGACTGTACTGACGACTTAACTGCTGTGGCCGTGTTTTGTTGTATGGCAACCTATCTTTAAAATTATAATCTGCTTAATCTAAATAACACCTTTAGCCCTTAATACTTATCAAAAACTAGAAAATGAAAATAGTTTGGCCTTCTTTCATGTTATTGATTAAATGAACAATTATTTTTTTAATGCAAAATGTAGTGTCATCACTATTATGGATACATGTATTTTTTTTTATTATTTCAGAGTTAATATAAAAGGTGCTGGACTCCGTTATTTGAGTAATGTATGATAACTTGTGTAAATAGTATTTGTGTATTGTAGATCATATTATAGTGTAAAGTATTCTAATCAAATTCTTTGTTATGTTTTTCATTTTATCATCAATGAATATAGGTGTTGTTTATTATAGTATCAATTATATTGCATATATCATACTGCAATTTAGATAAAATTCTTGTTTAAATGAACCATTTTCAATACATCATGCACATAGAATTTCATTTTAATAACAGATTTTATAGACAGGATTCAAAACTAAATTGACTATTTCACAAGGAATAAAATGTATTTTCATACATCTATATATTTCAAGCTTTTGTCATAATATAACATATATTCATGAATTCAGTCATGTTCATTGTTATTGCTAATGTTCAGTTTGGTGTTATTAATGTCACTATGAAGTCCATGCTTAATAATAAACAACAAAATAATTACATTCTTTGTCATTTTATTTGGTCTCAATCTGATTAAAATACAGATCTATTTTTCATTTCGTATTTTTATACTTTCGATGGCCTACACTACATGAAGATCTGACCGGTTGTAGTGGAACTTTTGACCCTGTAATATCAGACATTTGATTAACCAATCAGCGTTGATGTTTCTAGTGGGTTACCCACAGTTCTGTGCACCTCACGGCAAAAATTTGCTGTAACAGACCGTTTTATTGGCTAATCCCTCACATCATCCAGAACACGGGTTATATAACAACTCTTCCAGATGCTAGTGTAGTAAAGACAAGTGAAACGAAATTTTGAACTATAAAAGACGAAAAGAAATAGGATCTGTGTTTTAATCAGATTGATTTTGTCTATGCCAACAATTAATGTGGATTTAAATTTTGGTCACCCTTGCTTGTTGGGGATCCATCTATTGTTCAAATATGGGAGCCACGGTGGCTAAGTGGGTAATGCGTAGTGCCGCTGTCCAGGCAAAATTTCCCTCACAGCACACTGTATGGCGTATGCCCGTCTTCATTAGCCCAGTCGGAGCAGAACAGTAGGATATTAAACCCATTTCATTTATTGTTCAAATGTCTTGTGATGCTGTCATTTAGACTCAATATTATAATATCCCTTTCAATAAAAACAGAGTAGTCTTCACAAGAAATATAATAATACAATCAACAATTATCCCTCTGAATGAGCTTACAAAATATTTCTCAAAAAAGGTAACATTGTGCTGTGTTTTTTATCCACGTCAGAGTAGTCTCGTCGCACTAATTCTTCAATCCAGTGGAATCTTTGATTGAAGAGAAGTAGGTTAGCAGATTGTAAACCGGGATGGTATGTCATCGAGTTAAATGTTATGATATTGATCCCCTAAGCTTGTGGGTTTTCTCTGAGTTCCCAATACCCAAAAGGAAAGTTTTTGTCGGTCCCAAAATGATCTAGTTTGTGATGAGTAGATATTAAACCCTCTTTCTCTCACCTTTGTAGGTGCCAATATATAAATAGTGAGAATTAATGCCTTTTTATACGCCCACATTGAAATGTGGTCGTATATTGTCGTCGCCCCCGTCCGTCCGGCGTCCACAATTGCTTGTGGACGCTCTAGAGGCTAAAGTTAATATCTGATTGACTTTAAATTTATACACAGTGTTTAAGGTCTTGAGACGAAGAAGCCTCTTGATTTTCAGCGATTTCCGATAATTACTGCCAGAGTTATGGCCCTTGATCACTTCAAAAAATCTTGTGGACGCTCTAAAGGCCAAAGTTAATATCCGATTGACTTTAAATTTATACACATTGTTTAAGGTCATGAGACGAAGAAATCTATTGATTTTCAACGATTTCCGATTATTACTGCCAGAGTTATGGCCCTTGATCACTTCAAAAAATCTTGTGGATGCTCTGGAGGCTAAAGATAACATCCGATTGACATTAAATTAATACACAGTGTTTAAGGTCATAAGATGATGAAGCCTATTGGTTTTGAGCAATTTCTGATAATTACTGCCAGAGTTATGGCCCTTGATCACTTCAAAAAATCTTGTGGATGCTCTAGAAGCGAAAGTTAATATTCGATTGACTTTAAATTTATTCACAGTGTTTAAGGTCATGAGACGAAGAAGCCTATTGATTTTCAGCGATTTCCAATATTTGCTGCCAGAGTTATGGCCCTTGATCACTTTGAAAAATCTTGTGGATGCTCTAGAGGCCAAAGTTAATATCCGATTGACTTTCAATTTATACACAGTGTTTAAGGTCATGAGACGAAGAAGCCTATTGATTTTCAGCGATTTCCGATAATTACTGCCAGAGTTATGGCCCTTGATCACTTCAAAGAATCTTGTGGATGCTCTAGAGGCTAAAGTTAATATCCGATTGAGTTTAAATTTATACACAGTGTTTGAGGTCATGAGACGAAGATTCCTATTGATTTTCAACGATTTCCGATAATTACTGCCAAAGTTATGGCCCTTGATCACTTTGCAAAATCTTGTGATGCTCTAAAGGCTAAAGTGATAATCCGATTGACTTCAGATTGATACACAGAGTTTAAGATCTTGAGACGAACAAGTATATTGATTTTCAATGAATTTTTATGACTTAAACAGTTAAATCCATGATATTAAAAGCTTTGCATACAAAAAGTTAGCATGGGGCAGAACTTTATAAAAACCAAACAAATTCTAATAGTTTTCTGATAATTACTTCGTGAGTTGTTGCTCTTAATCAGATTTTAGTGTATTATAAATGTTTCATTACCGAAAAAAGTAAAAATATGCGACAACCCTTGTTGACTGCCCGGACGATTTAGTTGCTGTGGGCGTATGTTTCGTTGCCTGGCAACCTATCTTTACAACTGATTAAACTACCAATGTAATTTCAAAATACCAGGAAAAACTCGATAGTTAGATATCATGAACTATTCTTATCACAAATGTTTCGATTTGTTTTCTATTGTACAAACGAAGACGAGTAAGTATTGAGGAATATTATGGACGCAAAGTTGGATGACTTCTGGTGACCAAATTCTGGACTATGTCAACCACGACAAAAAATGTCTAATGTGCAAAATTTTGAAATAGCATCTCTGGTATAGCTCTATTCAGGAAAATAATTTTGCCAATTACCTAACACACAGACCACCATATATTTTAAGAAATGTGTAATGGTCTCCACCAATACAGGTATATATTGCGTTAAACATGCTGATCTGTGAAATGTGTACCTGTAACATGCGTCGTAATATATAGCAATTAAAGGCTTAATGCATAATTTAGCGCTATAGGAATCCCTTGCAAACTACAAAATTGTGAAAGTTTAGTCTCATAATATAATTTCAGTCAAAAAATTGTTATGATAAATTGAAATTTCATTTTTTTATACGCCCACATTGTAATGTGGTCGTATATTGTTGTCGCCCCCGTCCTTCGGTCCGTCCATCGGTCCGGCTAAAGTTAATATCCGATTGACTGTAAATTTATACACAGTGTGTATTTTCAGCGATTTTCGATAATTACTGCCAGAGTTATGGCCCTTGATCACTTCAAAAAATCTTGTGGACGCTCTAGAGGTCAAAGTTAATATCCAATTGACTTTAAATTTATACACAGTGTTTAAGGTCATGAGACGAAGAAGCCTATTGATTTTCAACGATTTTCGATAATTACTGCCAGAATTGTGGCCCGTGATCACGTCAAATAATCTTGAGGACGCTCTAGAGGTCAAAGTTAATATCCGATTGACTTTAAATTTATACACAGTGTTTAAGGTCATGAGACGAAGAAGCCTATTGATTTTCAGCGATTTCTGATAATTACTGCCAGAGTTATGGCCCTTGATCACTTTGAAAAATCGTGTGGACGCTCTAGAGGCTAAAGTTAATATCTGATGGACTTTAAATTTATACACAGTGTTTGAGGCCGTGAGATGAAGAATCATATTGATTTTCAATGGTTTCGGATAAGTTATGGCCCTTGATCACTTTGAAAAATCTTGTGACGCTCTAGAGGCTAAAGTTATCATCTGATTGACTTCAGATTGATACACAGAGTTTAAGGTCTTGAGACGAACAAGTATATTAATTTTCAATGAATCTTTATGATGTTAAAAGTTTCGTATACTACAAGCCAAACAAATTCTAATGATTCTATGATAATTACTTCATGACTTGTTACTCTTAGTCAGATTTTAATGTATTATAAATGTTTCATTACCGAAAAAAGTAAAAATATGCGACAACTCTTGTTGACTGCCCGGACGATATAGCTGCTGTGGGCGTATGTTTCGTTGCCTGGCAACCTATCTTCTATGCTGCTCGAGCATAACAAAGTGCCACAATCCTTTATTGGTAGCAGAGAAACCTAATGTACTTAGTTTAAATCCAAGCTGGTAGACCTAGCGCTGGTAAATTTAGTGTGTATTAAGCCATGAGAAATTTGATACTTTAGTGCTACATTGAACTATTGAATCTTTAAGTTATTTTATATCAAGTCAACGAGAAATTGTAGTACAGCTTTCTAAATCAGGTGTTTCTTTTAGAATATATTTGGAATTTGCTATAAAATGTGCCAAACAATTTGTTAATCTCTTTTTGTAGGCCTGGATTAACAATTATGCAAAGTAACCTGCATTTATAATTTGTGTGGGGGTTGGGTGATCTAGTGGTTTAACAGTGCACATGCAATCACAAGATCTGTCACTGAGTCAAGTGGCGTTGTTTCGATTCTCTGTTTGTAAGTGACAAGGAGTAGGGTCGTCTGTCCAACCTTGTGCTGTGGGTTTTCTCAAGGTCCTCCACAAACTGCTAAAGACCCCTACGTGCCAGCGAATTATTGAAATAGGATTGAACCATATGTTAGTCCCAAATTGCCCTAGTTTGTATGAGTGGATGTTAAACCCCATTTCTCTCCCTCTCTCTCATATTTGTGTTAAACACATGTGGGGACACAATATTTTGAGTGTGTACAGCCTCAAACTACTTTGAAATTGAGATACCAGTTTGGCACCTTTTTGGCCAAGTTTATATCCACTGGACTACTTCCCATTGTTTCTTGTCATTTTAGGGTATGTAAAAGAAAAACATTTGTCTGATGATTGCACTATTTAATAATAGTTATTACTTTTTAAAATACAGATGACCTTTTTATTTCTGAAGTTGTATTGTTATTTCAAATAATGGTACAGACAATTAAGGTGCCAATAGAAGTTATTTTAAGTTAATCAAAGGACTAACACATGTTGAAGATAATGTACAAGACATTGTGTAATATGTTGATACTGTGTGAGGGTGTTAGTCTGAATGGTGTATCAATATATTACCCAATGTGTATTTGTCCAATATTACTGTCTCACTCTTGACCTTTAAACCATACACAAAGATCACTGTACATATTTACACTTGTTGCCCCACACTACCATTATTCACTGTATTGTATTTAGTCTTTAATAAACATGTGAAAAGAGTGTTTATTTTTGTATATGTCTATTCTCAGGATTTAGTTCAACTTTAACCAACATCTTCTGGAGTAACAGTAAAGAAATCATCAGTTGGATCTAAGTCATATGATGAATTCGTAGGTTTCCTGGATTCATGACCTTTCTTAGACTCCACTTTCATAAGATATTTAGCTGCAACACTTCTTCTTAACATTCTTCGGTGCTAAAAACAAACAAATATTCAAATTATCTAGTCTGTCTTTCAATTTTCTTCAGTAGTAATAAACTAATTTGAGGATAACCAATATAATCTAGGGAAATGAATTATACAATTAATAATTGTTAGTGCTTAGTATAGGAGGGTGTTACCAGGATTGACATAATATTTGCGATCACCAATGTTATTGCATTATATTATACAAAATAAATACCAGCAATTGCCATGCAAGATATGCCCACATTTGGAAGAGATGGATAGAGAACAAACTACAAAATATAACGTGATTTATCGTACAACCAAGGGCCATATTCCAGGAAGTTATTGTCTGAGATTGAAAAGAACTGAGATCTTTGGGATTTAAACATATATTTTAAGTTTCATCAAAATTGGATCAAAATTGTGACCTCTAGCGTGTCCACAACCTTGATATTACATACTTTTACACTATTAATTGCGTTCAAGGAGCAGCCATTTTGTCGTGCAGTTTCGGTCCTATTTTTACGAAATTTGAACTCAACCATCATTATGGTGTAAAAGTGACATATTCGAATGTTGTTTTTAAATTGTATAAAAATAGTGACCTAGAGGGACCATAAACTAAAAACGTTATTTTTTGCACAATCAGGAGCCATAATCCAGGAAGTTACCGTCCATTATGTGCAAATATCAAAGGAGTTGAGATCTTTGGGTTACAAACATACATTTCAAGTTTCATCAAAATCGAATAAAATTATGACCTCTAGAGTGTCCATAACCTAAAAACGTGAATTTTTATACAATCAGGGGCCATAATCCATGAAGTTACGGTCCGACACATGCCAATCTCAAAAGTAACCAAGATCTTTTGGAAATGACCCTATGTTTTATCAAAATCGGATAAAACTTGTGACCTGTAGAGTTTCCACAAAAAATTGTGGACGGACAGATGACATGGGCGATGACAATATACATCCACATGGAAATGTGGGCGTATAATAAAAGACATGATGATCTTAATAACAAGATTTTAATTTTTGTAAACTAAGGTTGATTCTCACCTCATTTGGTGAAGTGTAAGAAGGATTAATATACAATGTTGGTCCTCCAAAACTCCCTTCAAATATTCTAATAGGATTTAATACAAATCTTGGACCTGGAATGGAATAAAAAGGAATTCACAAAATTATCAAAAGACCTGCATTAATTTTTTTTGGTAAAAATCGATGGTTAAGATGCTGCAAAAAACATTTATTTTTTTTTTTTTTAGATCATACAAATATGATCAAACATAGTAGTCAAATTCTAAGATCAGAACAAAAAGATAGGTTACCAGGCAACAAAACATATTCCCCCAGACAGTCGACAAAAGTTGTTGCATATTGTTATATGCCCACATGGAAATGTGCTTGTATATTTCCGTCTTCTGTCGTGCACATTTTCTTGCGAACACATTTTTTATCTAATCATTTGAAATTGATACATTTGTGAGATGAAGAATCCTATTTAATTTCAACAATTTCCCTTAATTCCTTCAAGAGTTATGGTCCTTTGTAGAACCTTCTGAATGACTAAAGTTATCATCCGATCTGTATTAAATTTACATGCATTATTTATTTTAGTAAAACAAAAAAGCCTTTTGAATTTCAGCAATTTCTATTTATAACTTCTACAGTAACGGACCTTGTGAATGCTCTCACAACAAAAGTTATCAACTGCTTGGACAATTTAGCTGCTTTGAGCATAGTTTCATTGCCTGACAACCTATCTTTTTTTTTGTCGGTAATGAAACCATTTACAACACATTCAAATCTGCCATAACTCTGGCAGTAATTAATGGAAAATCAATAGGTTTCTTTTTCTCATGACCTTAAACACTGTGTATAAATTTAAAGTCAATCGGATAGCAGTGACAACAATATACAAACACATTTTTTTAGAAATGAAAACATACCTATTTCAGCTAACGATGCATCTTCTTCTAATATCTGATAATTACGAAACCAAATTCTGTTGTCTACTATTGAGAAATTGAACACATGATCGAAAAATGGTTGACTTTTGGGATGATGATTTGGGACACTAAATATCTGATAATAAAAAAAATCAGTTTTGTATCAAGGTAATAACAAATATTAATGTTACATGTTCTAGCTTAGAAATACTATTATATTGATCACACCCTGCCTCATGCATGACAAAACTGTCTGTCTTTGACCTTTCATTACTATATAGATGGTTAAAAAGCTGCAAAAATAAAATATAGACAAATTTTAACACAGACCTGCGTAAATAATTCCTTTAACAGTTGCCAGTGTTCTTCCTGTTCAAATTCCTATAAAATACAGATATAGTTTAACTCAAAATTACAACAGTAAACTAACAAATGTTATTACTTATTTATAATGAAAACATTTCTTCATCTCACTTTTCAGCTCAGTGGTACATACTGAGGGTGGACATATGCAACTGCTTCTTAAAAATGAAATCAGGTTTTTCGCCCTACTTTCTTTCTATACTAATGAAGATAGACACTTTGCTAGGATGGAAATTTGCTAGTGTAGAAATATAATGGTAAAGAACTCTTCATATTTACCTTACTAAAAGATAAAAGTGGTCTAGAAGCCTTCAAACAATTTCCTGTCATCTTTAGTTCTGACATAGTGTGTACTGAAAAACAAAACAATCCATGAACATAAGTTAGCATAAATCCCAAAACATAAATAAGCATAAATCAGAAACAAGGTCTAACCTTTTAAAACAATTTGTATCATGTATTTTTAAATGCCACCAAGTCTGGTTTATATTTATTCCAAAAAGAGCTTACCATTTTCAACCAGAAATTTAGCAGATGGTCCTCGTGGAACATTAGAAAGCCTGTAAAAAAATACATAATCTTATGTAGTGCAATAAGAAATATATTTCTATTTAAAGTCTATTAAATATTTTTCATTACTTGATCTATTCAGGAACTGTACAAGACTACAAGTGCATTTACTGCAATGAAACCAAGTGGAACATAATATATCAATTTCATATGCCCTTTAACTCATTAAAGAAAAACGCCTATTGATTTTCAATAGTTATGTCCCTTTACTTTGAAGTTTCCATTTGTTGGTATGTTTTTCACATTTCTTGTTAGCATACTAGTGGTTACAAAAACCAATATATCTTTTTGAAATTGATAAGCATTATCTATCTCATTCACACAAAGAATCCTATGGATTATTAATTTCTATCTCGTATAGTTTCCTAACCACACTGTGTCAAGTTCATTAAGATGCTATTGTTGAATCATGCAGTCCCAGGTACTATTTAACAAATAAATGAAAAAGTTTATGTTCATGCTAAAAGTGCTATTCACGATATAATGCAGACTATCTTGTAAATATTATATAAAAATAATGTTACTTACCACATATAAAGATCCATTTTCTTTTTACCTTCAAAATAAATACATTTATTACAATTCTTCATTTCACACATCTAAAAAGAAAAATTACAAATTTACAAATAACAGTAAAACAAACATGTAATAATTTAAAGACTGAATTTTCAATATGAGGAACATTTAGAACAACAAACCACACAATTACAGACTAGGCTTCATAAAGAGAGAGCACAGCTGGAATAACATAAGAAATTCAAACCAATCTCATGAATAGGAAAGCCATAGTATTCAAAGCAAATGTGGGTACAAAAACATTTAAATATAAGGTTACTGGTATATTATTATTTATTTACCTCATTAATAACAAATAATTTATCTTTATTGTCCATCTTTGATTCTGGTTTAGAATGAGGTAACAAGGATCTAAGATCTAACATCAAGTGACGTGATCTGTAACCAATTCCTCTTGAAGAAAGAACAAGCACTCTCTGTTTGTTGATCCATTTTTTCTGAAAGTAAACAAAATGTACATCACATTAGTTATTTTTGCAATTCATATTTTCAATGCAATGTAGGTCTACAAAGGGTATAATGTATTGAATCTGATAGGGTGGTGGTATAGATTTACTTGACCCCTGGGATATGAATACTTGTTACGGCTTAAGTAAATTGGTACTAATGCTTTCCTAGAATCATCAGGACAACATATTTTTTTCATTTACAAAATTTTATTTTGGTATGATGCAAAAGCCTACAAACTTAGGTTGTCAATTGTTTCATTCATAATATAAGACCATGTGATTTAGAGGAACTTTCTTTTTTAACCTGTTTTTCTAATTATAAGTATTATTCATGTACAAACTGATGACACAAAAATAAATACAATCTATTTACGGTACTTAGACATGCAATTACAAATGTAATATATCTATACAAATGTTTAATCAAAATTCTTGTTTGTGCATTCTGTAAGCATTATTATTCACAAGGGCAAGCTGCCAGATGGAACTATATAGTACCCTGCCAAACATAAAAATGTTATCCCTTTAAAAATTAAACACCTCACAATTTTGATATCGAGAAATACCAAAATGGAATCTAATTACGTCACTCATCAGGATAGATCATTTCATACAAGGGGGTGGCAGCTAGGGCTGGTAGAAAATATAGATATTGCTGGCAAAACGTTTTTAGGGATAGATAATTGATAGATTTAAAACATTGATAATCGCGTAATTATAGGTAGTTACGTGTGAGAAGAAATCCACAAGACGATATTATCACAGTATTCTCTACAACCTGTGCTTGGGCCCTGATCGGTAACCATAATTCAACCACATAATTACGTCATACATTGTAGAATTATCTCATATTTGACCAAGAGTAAAAAAACATGAATTAAGCCACAATACAATGTGTTCTGTGAACATGAGAAATCACCATGAGAAATAAAATGGATGCAGAATCCGTTTCAAAGGGAAATAACTACATTTCAATCATAATTATTAATCTAGTTAAAGGCGACAAAGATATGACGGGTCTGTCTTCCAAAAGAAGTTGATTGAGTTTCTTCACCTTGGTTTTCGTGTAGAATACTATTATTTTATGGTCAAATCAATGAAAAAGATTCTACATAATATATACCTTTCTCACTTCTAGTCAGCAAGCTTAAGTGTCCAATATATTTTTCTTAAAAAGCATTGAAGCAGTATAATTTTCAAACTTTTCATGGAGAGGCCTCCCATGTGCCTCCTGAATAAGCACTTTGCATCTTCGGTGCTTGTGGGAGAATCCGTGGACTCTGAAGAAGCATTTTTTCGGCTTTGAAACGAATATATGAGGGTTCACACAGTAGGGTTAGTCCTTTAAGTCTAATACTCTATCCCATCACAACAGACATCCCATCAATCTGATTAAAATACAGATCTATATTTTGTTTGATTTTTATACTTTCTATGGCCTTTACTACATCAAGATCTGACCAGTTGTAGGTGGGAGGTTGCATCAGGGGTCATACATGTACGAGCAGCTTTTGACCCTATGACATTAGACTTTTGATCAACCAATCAGTGTTAATGAATGTTTCTACTGGGATACCCACAGTTCCGTGCTATGCATGCCAAGAACTCGCCGTAACAGATCATTTCCTTGGCTAATCCCTCACATCAATCAGAATGTGGGTTATATAACAAATCTTCCAGATCGTAGTAAAGACAAGTAAAACGAAATTTTGAATTATAAAAAAATGAAACGACAGAAGTCATAACTTAGATCTGTGTTTTAATCAGATTGTCATCCCATCACAACAGTCATGATTTGATTGTAATGGAAATCAAATAAGATCTGCCTTCCTGAATATGATATAGTAACCATGCTTAAGGCCCCCATCAGGGTATTACAGTGACTATTAACATTTAAAACAATCAAAATCAAATATATAAACAAAGGGAGGTAATCACAAAATAAACCCACGTGTTCACAACACGCGTGGATCTAATCGAAACTTCAAAAACTTTTATTGGTGAAAAACATGAACGGATTTTGTTAATAATAGATACCTGTCTTTGGACTGGTTCATTAGAATTAATGACGGGTGGCAAAACTATATCTTCCTTTGGTTTCTTTGCGCTTTCGTCTTGATCTTTATTTTCGTGTTTACGTTTTGCCATTTTGATATTTTTCTGTGCCGAACTAAACTATACTTCCGTTCATAATGTAATAATACTAATGTAAAAATAAAATAAACCTTTTAAAATTAAATATATATCGTCATCTCCAAAAAAAAAATACAGTCTAGTTTCATTTATATATTTAATTACTTTTAAGCCTATGTTTAAAAAAAAAAATGCATCGTGATGCACTGCCTATTGTTTAGTGTGTTTATTATTAATGATTATAATGTGATATTTTGACTAACAAAAATCATGATTTGAACTATATATTAATTTACATAAGAAACATGTTGAACAAATAATTCAGTTCCTCATATAATCATCAGTTATTTGTTTTTTATCTATTCATCCAGCCCATCAGGGAAGCAACTGTACCGCAGTAATTATTTTAGGAAAGGAAAAAAATATTGTTAATTTGTGATATATATCGTTAAAATTACTGTCTAAAAGAATATTTTACACTGAATAGGTTGTCTGCATATTGTATAACCCTGCAATGAACCCTGTAAATTCAGCTACAGGGAGTATCCAGGGCGACAGCGTAGCCACTGTCTCACCTATTGCAAGACCTCCACTCAGAGCACCAAAAGAATCCACAGTGATACAATTACAACAAACTGTAGTAAATAATGGTGTTGTTGGTTCTTCATCAGGTATATTTTAATTAATTTCATCACCAATCATGACAAAAACATGAGTTAGAATTATTAATAATGCCATATTATGCTTTTGGTGTTACAATTAATGATGGGCATGTATTTTCTGTGTCAACCATATTAATATACTATTAGTAGTACGTAGCACGTCATTTCGGTTCCGACACAGACGATCTTTCAAACTCAGTTTGACGACGGATCGGGCGGGCTTTACTTGACGACTTTTCAGACTCGGTCTGGCGACATTTCGGACTTGGATGAATAATTAAAAGACTGTTGAACATTTGTGTGATATATTTGTAACAGCTGTTTTTTTATTTGAGTCCGATAGTTGTTTTGTTTTATTTAATTGATCTGCGATTCTTTAGACCACTAAAAAAAAGATAACAAATTGATCCACTCTAAACCAAGATTTTAGCTATTGAATTTTCTGCCTAACCTCAATCATCATTACTAAAGTCAGTACGATAAAAAACATACATGTAGTCTTGATTATCCATTTCATGATTAAATCAAATCTGAACCTAATACAATAAGCATCGCAGGCTAGCGATGACACCAAGGGTTGATTATGGTCTGGATAAGTTAATTAATGTCTAATTAATAATTTAGATAACATTTCAGGCCTAAAGAAAGACCTGCAATAGGCAGATTTAGCTCTTGTATAATGTATGTTTAACAATGGTAGAATTTACACAAAATATTTAGACAGCAAATGTTAAACTTTCGCAAAAAAGTGTTGATTTTTGGGCACATATGTTGATTTTGGTTTGGCCCTCTTGCAGATGATGATGACAAATACATTTATGATTTCAGATACCAACAATAGCAACATTTCATCAAAATTATCAGTTAAAGCACAGGAATTTATTCCCAAAAGCTATGCAGCTGGAAATGTAAGCATATTTCTATTATTCAAAAGAAGATTCTGAAGCTAACAGTTTTAATTATAACATTTTGAATTTTAGACTGAGCACTGTCTTTGTCCACCATTTTTTTTCTCTCACTTTAAAATTAGTAGTCTGTGCTGTAACGTTCATTGTTTATTGTTTGTTCTGTCTTTGATTTATTGTACCACCTTGATCTATCAGTGAGGGAGGTTGGAGAAGCTTGTGGTATATGGTATGGATGGTCACTAGGAGAATTGAATGTGTTCTGGTTTTAGTATTTTTTATATGTTTGTCCGTGCTGTTTAATTGGTTGTTCTGTTGATCTTTTCAAACATTGTTTATTTAAATATATATTATTGAAAAAATTTATATATGGATTCTATGTTAATGTAGAAAAAATGTATGTGTAAGCTTACAATAAAACGATACTAAATGTATAACTATTAGTAGCTGAAGATTTATTTAGTTAGCTGCGTCAGTCTTGACTCTTTAATGCATTTGTTCATTTTGTAAAGCAGCATTCACACGATACAACCAATCCATACAACTGTTGGATGCAACCGTCACATCCGACCAACTGTTCAGACAAATCGTCGGATGGACAGCTTGTTGTATTGATAGGACCAGTTTTATTCTCATCTGACAGTCTGATGCAATAGCCAATCAAATTGTGTTATATTAGACACCATCATATAGGGTATGACGTCATATCTGACTTGGCAACAAGACTTCCTGATTAAAGATATCTTCTTCTGTCACTTCAAGTACTTTTATGTCCTCTAAATGGATCTAAACCTATCCTGGACTGAATTAGAATATCTAATAACTCTGTATAGGAAGCATGGTCTTTGTGGAACCCGCGGCATCACCACTACACGAAGACGGGGATGGGAAGTGTTGTCTTACTGCCATTTTATTATACGCCCACATTTTCATGTCGACGTATTATGCCGTCGTCCCAGTCCGTCTGTTTATACACAATTTGCTTGTGAACACTCTACAGGTCACAATTTTTATCTGATTTTGGTGAAACTTGAAAATACGTCTATCCCCAAAGATCTCGGTTCCTTTCGATACTGGCATGTATCGGACCATAACTTCATGTATAATGGCCCCTGATTGTACGAAAAATCCGGTTTTTTGCTTGTGGTCACTCTACAGGTCACAATTTTTATCTAATTTTGACAAAACTTGAAAAATAGGTCTATCCCCCAAAGATCTTGGTTCCTTTCAATATTGGCATGTATCGGACCATAACTTCATTGATAATGGCCCCTGATTGTACGAAAAATAACATTTTTTGCTTGTGGACATTCTAGAGGTCACAATTTACATCCGATTTTGATGAAACTTGAAATGCATGTTTGTAACCCAAAGATCTTGATTCCTATCGATATTCGCACATATTGGATCGTAACTTCCTGAATTATGGCCCCTGATTGTACGAAAAATCATGTTTTTAGCTTGTGGTCCTCTAGAGATCACAATTATTATCCGATTTAAAAAAACGTTTGAATATATCGCCGTTACACCCTAATGTGGGTTGAGTTCGAATTTCATGAAACTTGAAATCTACAGTATGTTTATAATCTAAAGATCGTGGTTCCTTTTGATATTTGTGCATTTCAGACCATAACTTTCTGGATTATGACCCCTGATTGTATGAAAAATCGCCATACAACGAATAGAACCATTGTATCGTGTAAACAGTCGTCCAGTATGCTGCATCCGACGGTTGTATGGATTGATTGCATCAATTAAACGCTGCTTTATAGCCACTGGTACTGACTGTCATTTAAGTTGTGGTTACATATTAAAGTGTAAAATATGTCCCTTTTCCTTTAAATTTTGGATTGTTTAAAAGGCCATGGCTACTCTCTTTGGTGCTAAAAAAATGTGCCCTAATGAATCCTAAATTAGTGCTTGCTTTGAATATTTAAGAATCATTTCTTTTTATTTACAATAACTCAAACTTCCCAGTAAAATATTAATTATTCTGTTGTTAATGTTATGCAAAATAATGCATGTAGACTGTATATAATATAATATAATATAATATAATATATATCCTTATTTCAGAAATGTATGTGGTAAATTTTTTTTTACTTACGCTTTTTTTTTCATTGTATCTTAGACATCAAGCTTATCACAAGTTAATGAAGCAAATAAATCTCTTTCTGCAAGTGCCCCAATTTTCGTCCCCAGACAGTCGGCATACAATCAAGGTTATCAGGTAGTAGAAATTGTTTCATTTCTACGATCATTTTCTGCCACATTGTCCGTCAGTCTGTCCAACATTTCTGTAGATGCTGTAACTACATTTTTTAAAAATTTACAGGGATTGAAAAAAATTTGATCTCAAATTTCAGAGTTATCTTCCTGTTTCCGTCCTGTGTTATGAAATTTTGTAAACTCATGACAAGATAGACTGGACGACTTTGCTGATGATATGTTTCAAAATATATCTGGTATAATTTTTCTTTTCATTAGCTTTTATAGATTTATTAATATTTAAAGTAGCTAAGTCTCTAACTCAGTATTATCCAAAGTCTTCGACATTGAAAACACAAATTATTTGTCAATTTAAATCAACATTGAAGTTTAGATCTTACAGTGAAAAGATGGCCTCGGATAGCCAATATTTAAGACAAAATAAACATTTCACCATGGGTACACAAATCGTATACCAGAATGAGTTTCAGCGTCATTTGTAAAAAAGAGACTCCAAGAACGAGGCTAGACATACATGTATTTCACAAGTCATGTTAATTGGCCACGCCATATTCTTATCTGGAGAGCATGATGTGCAATAAATACTATCGGTGTAGACTGGAATAACCAGACACTAGAGATTACCATTCGATTGAGACTTCTGGCTTATTTCGCCGAACAGAACTGATAGGAAATTAAAATAAGAGTACAAACAAAAATGATTGAATGTAAATCAGTTTATATACATTCATATTACATTATTATATGTGTTGTGGCCCATTTGTGTCAATTTCTAGGTCCCAAATATTGGCAATTTAGCTACTTTTTATACACCCACATTTTCATGTGGACGTATATTGTTGTCGCCCCCGTCCGTCCACAATTGTTTGTGAACACTCTAGAGGTCACAATTTTTATCCGATTTCAACGAAACTTGAAATATAGGTTTATCACTCTAAGATCTCGGTTCCTTTCGATATTGGCATGTATCTGACTGTAACTTCATGGATTATGGCCCTTGATTGTATGAAAAATCATGTTTTTAGCTGTGAACACTGTAGAGGTCGCAATTTTTATCCGATTTGGTTTAAATTATAACCCAAAGATCTCAGTTCCTTTCGATATTCGCGCATATCGGACCATAACTTCCTGAATTATGGGCCCTGATTGTACGAAAAATCTCGTTTTTAGCTTTTGGACCCTATAGAGGTAATAATTTTTATCCGATTTAAAAAAAACATTTCAGTATATCACCGTTACACCCTAAGGTTGGCTGAGTTGTGGGCCCTATAGAGGTCATAATTTTTATCCAATTTAAAAAAACGTTTCAGTATATCACCCCTTAGGATGGCTGAGTTCGAATTTTGTGAAAATCGGACCAAAACTGACTGACAAAATGACCGCCCATCGTTCTCAAATAGCGTATATCAAGGTTGTGGACCCTATAGAGGTCAAAATTTTTATCCGATTTTGTTGAAACTTGAAATGTAAGTTTATAACCCAAAGATCTCATTTCCTTTTGATATTCGCGTATATCGGACCGTATCTTCCTGAATTATGGCCCCTGATTGTACAAAAAATCATGTTTTTAGCTTGTGGACCCTATAGGGGTCATAATTTTTATCCGATTTAAAAAAAACGTTTTAGTATATCACCGTTACACCCTAAGGATGGCTGAGTTCGAATTTAGTGAAAATCGGACCAAAGCTGACAGATAAATGGCTGCCCCTCGTACGCAAATATTGTAAATATATGGTATATCAAGGTTTTGGTCCCTCAAGAGAGAGGACACAATTTTGATCCGATTTTGATCTTGGTTCCTTTCAATATTCATGCATATCGGATCGTAACTTCCTGAATTATGGCCCTTGATTGTACGAAGAAACACTTCTTTTTTTGAGCTTGTTGTCTGTCCATCTCTTGCAAAATGTGGGTGTATCTTGCATGCCAACCGCTTGTATATAATCAATAAGAGTTGATAAATATAACAACTTGATATGACTCAAAAATACTTAGGCAGGACAAACTATAACAATTAACAATTGTATTGCCTTTACAATTATTTAAAGTTGGAATTACGTGTACTCACAGGTCTGTCATCATTGATACTGTCAATGTTTAAATGTGTAATTTTAATTTTACTTTGATTTTGTTGCAGAATTACAATACAACTACCACAAATGATTCTCATATCTACAATCCTGTAATGGAAGAATTTTATAAGACCATTACCATTTTAACATCACAACCAGGAAATGTAGAGGAATATATGAATCGTTTGTATGAATACTTACAACCTGTAAAGAGTAAAGATATATTAGATAATATCATTAATTCCCTTTACGATCAGGTATATTAAAACTTCAAATAGATTTTCTCTTGATTTGTGTACTGTATACTGAGACTGATGGTGCCTTCCTTCAAGAATGTGATTGTATTAGTCACTGGACGACTTGTAAATGATGTTTAATACACTCTACCATTGGTTCCAACTCGGAACCATAGTTCTTGTTGTGGTTCTTTTCTTGAAACTTGCAGGGATTGTTTATTTAATACCGTGTAATGAAAAATCCTATCGAAATTCAAATATCAGAGTTTCAGAATTGTCTTTCCATTTACCTTCGGACTTATATGAAATCTCATGAACGTGATACAGGACAAAGTTCTAAATTGAAAATTTTAAAACTAGGTGGGATTGTTCATTATTGTATAAGGAATAACTCTATCGAATATTGGATCGTAAATTATGCAGGAGTCCTGTGATTAGGCACTGAAAGCAAGACTTTGTGCATTTATATCATAAAATCTATATGGATCTTCTAATACAGATAACAATTTTTTTATTTCAGTGTATAGCTGAACCAAATTTTCGATATACTGGTGCTAGAATCTGTCAACATATCTGTAAACATTTAAACAATCATCCAGTTTTCAAGGATTTTAGAACTTCACTTCTAAAAAGGTAGGACGTCATGCAATTTCTATGCCACAGATTAAAACAGAACAAGCCTTGTAGCAACCATTTAAAATAATTTGTGTGGGTTGGGAAGCTTGCAGAATATAAGATTTAAGAGAGAGAGAATTAACAGCTTCATATAATGTAATAGTAATACAATAGGTACCGGTACTGTAATGAAAAATGAATATATTGAAAATTTCAGCCTAAATTGGTCGCATGACAGGTCATATTCAGGATTGTCAAGTACCATTGTCACAATAGTCAACAAAGTCACAATTTTCAATTCTTCTATCGGCAGTCTTTGTGAGTGGCAGTCATATTATTTAACAAAGATATGGAGGGCATTGTCTAATCAACTGAACATCACAGACATCTGATGTTCTAGAGAGTTCATTAAAGGGCTTGTCATGTGATTTAGCTCTTACATAATGCCAATTAAAATGATATGAACTCTTTTTTATTTGGGTGTCATGATTTGATTAATTTAAGGCAATAAATAAGGAGCCACAAAATGATTGTTTATTGAAATTTATGCATTACTCTACTCTTGTCTAAAATGAGGGGCATATTGTAATCTTTGAGCCACAGAGGCTTCATAATCTTAACCTGTGTTGACCCAAAAAGTTCATTGGGATTTTTGTGGTGCAAGATGGAGTGCCTGGCAATGTACAACCTACTGAGGTCCTTGGCAGTTTTAATTCAATACAAGAGCAAGCTGTAGTGCTGCTGTGCGTGTAAAACTTCCCTCATAGCATATGCCTGTCTTTAATAGCTCAGTCGGAGCAGAATAGTAGGACGAAACTCCATTCCACTTCATTTATTTCATTTATTGTAATAATTGTAATAATGTAAGTAAATCACCCTTTAATGATAACACCATTGTTATATTATCAACAACTGTAGTCTAAATGATCACCATTGATTATTTTATTGTTTGTAGGGGTGTTAAATTTGACAATACCACTGTTTTATCCATACTTTATTTGATGTTGATATTCATCACATTCATTTCTTGTTATAAATCTGGTCAATTTTTTATGGAAGACAATAGATTGTTGGTAAAGATGGATATCTGCATACCTAGTTACAGAATACATGTATCAAAATATACGATTTTGTTTATAAAAGTTTACAATTTGAATGTTAGACATGTTTCTTTTCCAGATGCAAGGTAGATTATGACAAACGAGAATCCCTATTACTAGATCAACAAACATCTTCTCGAGTGTATGGTTTAGCAATGTTCATGTCAGAATTATTTCTTAATGTTGAAGTGAGTGAAGGCCTTTACTTTGTTAAAATCAGTGCCTAAGTTCTTGGTCATCTAAATATGGATGTTAGTTGACCAAAAAATGACTGAACAAGTCTGAGTGGATTTTTAAATATTTGAAGTAGATTGTGTCAGTTTGGACCGCCCCAAGCTTTTTGTCGATATTTTATGTCATCTCAAATCTTGTCAATAATAAGGATGGTGGGATAGTCGAATGGTTAGCGCGTGTGCGGTGTATCATAAGGTCTGGAAGGAGTAGGGTCATATGTTCAACCTCGTGGGTTTTCTCTGGTTTCCTCCCACTGCTAAAGAGCCCTTTCGGATGGGACGAAACCGTTCCAAATCTAGGGCGCCATCCACAATCCCACCCCACAGTGAATGTCAGTGAAATACTGGCTCGAACATAGAATGTTTTGCCTATATAGTTGTTTGCCAATCGTTACCTCAACAAAAAGCAGTTTTATTCAAGTTGACATAAAGTTAATGTCATATTATGATTGTTATTGATTTTTGTCAACTTTAGAGAAGTGACTATATAGCACTGAGCAACCTGAAGTGGAGGTCTGTAACTGACGACTTTTTTTCCCATAGGCGCAAAATAAATTCAGGTAATTTGGGACTGAATCTGAGGGCACTTTGTCTCACGAAGCTGCTTACTCGGTTTAAATCTGCTTCTGGTGATAGTAGTGGCCAAGTGAAAATGCTCTGCTGATCAATTTGATAAAAAGCATGTTTGAAAAAGTTGATAGATACGGTATATGTTTTCTTGAATAGCATTTTTTTTTTTTCAGAATGTACAAGCAGGTAGAGTAGAAAAATTTAATGTTTTAGGAACTGGTTTGATTGATATTACGTTGAGTTTACTAGCCTATCCCACCAAAGATAACATCAAGTGTGCTGTGCAGTTGCTCAAGGTACTAGTATACAGTGTGTATGACTGTTATATTATATTACATGATTTTCCCCCCCCCCCCCAAAAAAAATACGGTCAGGTGATTAGATTATGTTCCTATGTCAATATCATGGATACTTGTCATGTTTTTTATTATTTATTCCCTAACGTTTCTAGCTTAATTACTGATTAAGGTTCTGGAAAATAGTTTTCTTATGTGCAGAAAGCCACACCGTTGAGTTAACCGTAAACCAGATTATGTATGTTCCTATGACAATGTCATGGATACCTCTCATGTTTTTTATTATTTAATCCCCAACATTTCTAGATACACCTCAATATATTCCATTTTCAGTTCACGTGTACCGGCTTCACGGTCATAATTCATGATGTCTAAGCATTATTAATAACTTGTCAAAAGGCATGCCAGAATTCAACTTATTACCAGGTCTTGATGTTTGTTATTCACGCCTGTGACAAGCCTGAAGTTTTCATGCCCAAATTGACCTAATTGCATAATTAACTTAATTTACAGGAAAACTATATTTGTGAAGATAGCTTTAGAAAGTCGTATGACTCGTATCAAAGTTTGTTCTCTTTAATCTCTTTCCCACAGAACTTTCAGTAGTGGCACTTCTACTACTTTCATGTATTTTTTATTTTTTATTCAGCTTGCTGGTGCTGCTATAGAAGATATACCTGATTCACAAATTCAATCTGTTTTTGATAGATTATCACAGTTACAAGTTTCAGATGTTCATGAGTAAGTTATGTTGAATTTGTAGGGAGAATTGTTTGATTTTATCAAACATTCTGAGGGAAATATGAAAGTTTTCTGAAATAGAGTAGTCTGTATTATGTTTTATATTTGGTCTATTATGTAACAATTATGGCACAGTTTAATGACCAAGAAAGCTTATGCATACATTATACTGACTTTACAAATATTATTGTCCCCCGCCTTTTGAAGAAAGCAGAAAACTATTAAAATGGGTTCGTCCGTCTGTCTGTCACACTTTTTGGGACACAATAACTCTCCTTCTAATTGAGCTAGAAAGTTCAAACTTAGGTCAATGCCTTGATGGAGTTCGAAGATGATGAGCATTTTCTGCTTAGGGTAAGCATAGATAGGCAATTTAATTGGTTGATGCTTTGGGACACACAATAACTTTAGTTCTCATTAAGTGAGAGTGATGAAACTTGGTGTATAGTTTCATTACATCAATACCTTGACTAGGTTTGATAATGAGCATTTTCTGCTCATGGTAAGCAGAGTGATAAGCATCTTGATTGGCCGAGACTTTTGAACACAATAACTCTCCTTCTAATTGAGCTAGAAAGTTCAGACTTGGTGTAAGTGTTTATTAGGTGAATGCCTTGATGGAGTTCGAAGATGAGAATTTTCTGCCTAGGGTAAGCAGAGATAAGCAATTTGATTGGTTGATACTTTGGAACACAATAACTCTCCTTCTAATTGAGTTAGAATGTTCAGTTTGATTTTTTGATACTTTTGAAAAAAATAAATGTGCGATTAATTAATATGTGTCATCTATTTATTTTGGGATTTCATCGATTGACATCAGCCTCACTGTTTTTATGTTCTCACTTTTATCATATTTCGGAAAGAACTGTTGATATTGTGTTTCCAACCAAATGAACTGACCAAAATTTGTCTCTTTTTTTCTGAATATAATTGTTGTGTTTGAGATGTCATTCATTCTGGGAAATTTTGCAGAAGATTAAATATCTGCTCTACAGAAAAAATTACTACAACATCATTAGATAACTAGTATTTTCCTAGACTGGTGGCCAGTGACAATATTAATATTATGATAGTTACAGCGGATTGAGACCACCCTCAAATAGAGTCAGTCAAGATGCATTGTTCCGTCCACCCAACTGCAGTTTTGAAAATGTAATGTTATATTTGTAGGAATGCTAAGTTTATGATAAAGTCTGTGATTGATCTTCGCAGTAATAATTGGGGAAGAGGAGAGTCCACTTCTTCATCAACAGACGGTCTTGATGCTAGTATGGGAGATCTTAACTTAGCTAACAATGTTTTAGAGGTAAAAATTCAGTTTAAGTAAATTAAATTATGTGCTAAATCTTGTATTTGAGATATCCAAAAAATAAACTACAGAAAAATTAAAGATGATTTGTTAAAGTTATTCAGTCAAATACATTGTGGTTCTTAATACGAAAGTAAAACATTAATTGTTAACTAAAAGTAGTATGTCTTGTTACTTCCCATTGACCCAGAAAATATGAACAGGTCATGCGGTCCTCATCGAGTGATACAGCGTATCTGAGAACCAAAATATATTTTTTTATATGGCAAAATGTGTATGTTCATGAGACAACGTCTATTGACTAACATAATTACTTTCATTGTTTGTTATTGCACTTCAAGCTAAAAATTCTTGTTGACACTCTAAAGGCTACAGTAATCATCCAAGTGCCTCAACCTCCGTGGACTGCTCAAACAATTTAGTTGTTGGGGAGACCAGGCATATATTAATAAATAGGTAGTGTGGACCCTTTCATATTGAATGAATACAAATATTATGTTGATTTTTTAATGAACGTTTCTCTTTTTGTTTTATTAGTGTGAACCGGTGTTTTTCGATGCAAAAGGTCAACGTATTACTCGTGCTGAAGCTGGTTATCAAGATGAAGCAGATGAAGAATCAGACTATATGTTAAATGAAGAAGAAGAATTAGATTATTTACAATGGGCACAGGAAAATGGTATGGGAGATGGTGGTCAGTATCCAGAGTGGTCTTATGATGGGTATAATTTAGCAGGAGATGGATATAACTTGCCAGAGGAGTATGGTGACAATGACCCAGAATGCACACCTGAAGTCATGGAGGCTTATGAACAATATCTTAAAAATAATCCAAGTTAATATGTTTAAACCATGGTGTAATTGAAATATGGCTGTGAGAGATCAGAAAATTCTTTTTAAAAAAAACCTAAATTACTCATGAAAAATTTCTACTTCTAGCCATTGTTTTGGAAATGGTTAAGATTTTTCATTTCATCACAAAAAAATGTCATTTTACATTTTACAGGTAAACAAATGGCTAATCATGCAGGATTTTATATTCATTCATTTCATGTTAGTGCTAATTTAATTTTCATTATTTCAAATACTGACATCCATCTCTTTACACTTTTGTAGCAAAATTTACTTGACTAATGATAATAGAAAAAAAGGGCTTACAAAGGACGTAAGAAAGTCTTGCTCATTTGGACTGTTTTTAGTCTCAACTTAACATAATCTAATGGTGGCTGTATAACTTGCTGATCATATCGACATTGATACTCTTTTTAGTCTATTGAACTAGTGGCATTATGAAAGTTAATGACAGCATTTAAATAAATTTTGTTTAAAAACTTTCCACACACATTCATTATGTAAATGGCAGAACCAGAACTGCCTAGCATTTGTCAATTGGAAAAGGTAGGTCTGGGAATGCTGTATTGACTGGCGGTATTGATGATGTCACTAATGCATTCTTTATTTAAGGGGCGCTTAGAATAGCTGTCATCATTATCTATCTTTTGTTAGGATATAGAATCTCCTTTAAACAATTTGATACAACTGTTTGCCAAATAGTCTGTATTCATTTATATTTTAGCAGTCATTTCATCATCCTAAAGTCATCATGATAAAACATCAAATCCGTCTTCAAAAAGTTACAAGTATTAATTAATTATTGATGTGAATGTTTTATGATATTAATTTTGTGTTTAAATTACAATGCCTTAAGATTATTTATCTCAAATAATATTAAAGATATATTCCTTTAACTTGGCAGGTCCTAATGGTGTCACTGTAATCCAAGGTTTTGTTAAAAAAAAGAGAAAAAAAAATTCTTCTGTTAGCTGTTATGAGTAATCTGTCTAAAAGTGTCTGATAGAATATTGAATTATCTCAGCACATCCTAATTACTGGCTGAGATCATCATGCCTCAGCCCCTAAATGCACACATTTTATTTTTCCAGTTCATCAGAAATATATGTATGTTTTAAGAGGTGAAGAGAATTAACCGCTAGGGAATATATCTTTCTGAATTGTAAGAGAGACTGCTGAAGTATTTCTAATGATGGTGGAGTACATGTATTTTTATGTATATATGTTGGCAAAAAAAATTGTTCTGTGTTTTGTATATCTGGAAACAAATCAAGTTCTGTAAGAACCATATGATTTATGTCCAGGGGAATGCTCACTAGTCCATAGGGTAGGGTTAATGTTATTGTGGTGGTTGAATGGTCTCTTGGCCTTCAGTAGATTCTGCTGGTTCATATGATACCACTATTTATAGTATGTAGTACAGCGGGCTTATGGATGAATGAACCTGTGGACTAGTGAACTCATTCCTCTAAAAGTTAAGAATTCATTTGTTTCATATTTTCATTGAATATAAAAGTGCTAAACATGATTATTATATTATTTATTATTCTTGTGTTTGATCATGCTAGTGATTTTTCATGGAAAATTGTTTTGAGAATGTTTCAAAAACATAAATTGTTTGATTGTATCAGAGCATACATGTAGTAAGATTTTATTATGTCATTCATGCATTTCTTTTTATTAACATGGTTTAATGATGAAAATTGCAGTATGGAAAATACTTGTATAAATGATGAAGTTCTAAGCCTCAATGATCCCTGTCGACTTCCATAGTATAAAAAAAACATATTGGTAATGTCAAACTTTTTTTTAAAATTTTTTTTATTGTATGTGAACTAATAGTAGACATTGGCCACTAATTTTACCAAAGTTAAAAATAGATTGAAATGTATTAGTTAGTCTTAGTGCTTTTGTAATAGAAATATGTTGAACTTACAATTGGAAAAGCAGATTATACCTTTTCATCTCTGCTAAAAATGGCAAGAAGCAGGGAGCTCTGCTGTCTGCCCCTCTGTTTATGCCACTGATAATGAACATTTAGCTAGGTTTAAACAGTAAGAATAAAATCAATGTTGATGTATAATAATATTTAATGTAAATTATGAATGATATTGTTGTACATACAAATAGTGCTCTATACAGTTATATTCTTCAAAGGTATTTATTATGTTAATTGGACAATAAATCTAAATTGTTGAGATACTATATTTGATGCTAAAATAATATATTTTTGTGGGGTTTTTGAAAGTGCATGCAAATATAGTGGTTGGCGGGAGGGAAAGACATCTTTATGTTATTGAAGGCTTATTAAGTCTGTAATTAAAGTTTGTTCTTCATGAGAAACATGTATATTTTCAGATGAAACTAAGTTTTCAGGATGAAATAAATGATCTAATTTTCATTTAAGGAATACATCTTTTAATAAACATATCTTTCATTTGTTACAATCACAATATATGTATCATTTTTCTCAGATTTGTTAAGTCAACTTGTTCCTAAAACTTATCGTTTAAATTGAAGTAATAATAAACATTTCTTATGAGTAGTTGTTACAAAGTGCTCAAAAGGATGTCACAAACTTTGAGTTATTCAAAGAAAAATGATACAAGTCACAAGGTCTTATTTATTGTTAGGCTTTCTTTTTTTCTGGATTGTAGAAAACGGTTATATAAGATAATTATGTAGCTACCGGTACTAAAATCAACTTAAAAAAAAAACAACTTCCAGATGTCTTTAGTCGAATGGTAGCCTACACTAAATTAAAGATTGCACTTGTGATGTCACATGACTGTGGAATCAGAACTAGCAATTGTCATTTGGGAAGGGTAGAAACATGATTTACAGATTATTTCAACACACAAAATAACCAGCAAACCTGAATAGACAGTTTTAATCTTGGGGGTGCTATATTGATTGATCTATTATTATTGATGACATCACTAATGCATTCTTTAATTAGGGGTATCATTTGTTACAGATGGCTCATCTCCTTTAACATCGGCAAAAAACTGATAAGATATTTTATTTGATAAATTAGTTGGATGATTATTTCCACTTTTCGCCATTGTTGTATGTTGCGGGGAATGGGATATTGTAAAACGTTAATTAAAACAAATTCTTTTTAAACTCCCAGGCCACACCAAATGTTAGTTTAATTAACTTTAACCTCAGAGTACATGTCAAAATAAAAAAAAACAATAGAAAAAGGTTATTTTGCCATTAGTTTGACATTCTTCCAAATAGAATATGAAATATCTTTTTGGTGGTGGTTGCAATTTTAAACAATTCATTCTTTCATGTGTGTCATTAATTTTCGAAATTTTTAATAAATTCAAACTATGTTAAATTTCTTGATACTTGCTAAAAATTGGATCTCATTTGTATAATAATAATCATAGTAATAGCTAGACCTGTGGCTGTGACACAGCTATGATGGGTTTCACTGGCACCATTTGGTTTTTTAACCAGAAGATTGTAAGCTTAATTAAAACATCAAGAATTAATATGCCTTCTTTAAAATGAATAATAAAGTAAATTTTGATGATTAAAATCTATAAAAATCTGTTTTAAGATTGTTCTTAAAAAGTTTCGCTAGTTTTTTTCTTTTTCTACGCCCACATTGAAATGTGGTTGTATATTGTCGTCGGCCTGGTCCGTCAATTGGTTCCGCGTCCACATTTGCTTGTGTATGCTCTAGAGGCTAAAGTTAATATCTGATTGACTTTAAATTTATACACAGTCATGAGGCGAAGAAGCCTATTGATTTCCAACGATTTCCGATAATTACTGCCAGAGTTATGGCCCTTGATCACTTTGAAAAATCTTGTGGACGCTCTAGAGGCTAAAGTTAATATCCAATTTATACACAGTGTTTAAGGTCATGAGATGAAGAAGCCTATCAATCTTGACCAATTTCCGATAATTACTGGCAGAATTATGGCCCTTGATCACTTGGAAAAATCTTGCGGAAGCCGTTAAGACTAAAGTTAATATCTGATTTCACTATAAATTTATACACAGTGTTTAAGGTAACTAGACGAAGAAGCCTATCAATTTTCACTGATTCCCGATAATTACTGCCAGAGTTATGGCTCTTGACCACTCTGAAAAATCTTGTGGACTCTATAAAGGTTAAAGTTAATATTCGATTGACTATAAATATATACACAGTGTTTAAGATCATGAGACGAAGAAGCCTATCGATTTCCACTGATTGCTGATAATTACTGCCAGATTTATGGACTTGATCACTTTGAAAAATCTTGTGGACACTCTAAAGGCTATAGTTAATATCCGATTCACTGATTTCCGATAATTACTGTCAGAGTTATGGCTCTTGATCACTTTGAAATATCTTGTTGACGCTCTAGACGCAAAATTTATACACAATGTTTAAGGTCATGAAACAAAGAAGTCTATTGATTTTCAACTATTTCCGATAATTACTGCGAGGATTATGGCCCTTGACCTCTTTGAACAATCTTACATGTAGAAGCTCTAGAGTCTAAAGTTAATATCTGATTGACTTTAAATTTATGCACAGTGTTTAAGGTCACAAGACGAAGAAAACTATTAGTTTTCAACGATTTCCGATAATTACTGCCAAAGTTATGGCCCTTGATCACTTTGAAGATGAAGAAGCCTGTCAAATTTCAATGATTTCCAATGATTATGGAAATTGATATTAAATGTTTTGTATGCTAAATGTTAGAATAGAGCAGAACTAGAAGCTAAATGGGTTGTTACTCATAATCATATTTTAGTGTGTTGTAAATGTTTTCATTTCTGACAAAAGAAAAAAAATATGTGACAACCCTTAGCTGCTGTGGGTGTATGTTTCGTTGCCTGGCAACCTATCTTTTTGATATGATGTTCCATAAAAATGGTGCTACAGATGCAAACGACCTTTCTTCTAATACTGATGTACATTTTGGAGATACATACTGGTGATTCAACCCAGATTGAAGATTAGGTATATATTGTTATAAGATGGACAAGTAGCTTGACCAGACAGGATCATATAACTAGGTTTGGCACAATGTTTTTAACTCTATACAATAAGTAACAGGCAACCAGTGTAATTCATTTAATTAATACTCTGGCAACATGTTGTCTGATGCAGATTTTCAAACAATATGAGCTGTCCAAGTTGGGTTGTGATTTATTTGTTCCAGCTGAAAATATAATGGGTGAAGGGTTAAACTGAAGAAAATTTACCACAATGGATGGATAAAAAAAGAATTACTGTTCCTTATTATCATAAAGAATATCCTTTATGTTATTATGTAATTAATAAATAAAAAAAATCAATATACAATATTAAAGATTAATGTAATAAAAAAAAACATTTTCCTCTGTATTTTGGATACTGCTGTTAATTGTATTATAAATAATAAAATACCAAAAACATGGAAACTGATGTTTGTTGATTGTGTAAAATAGTGTAGGCTACTTTCTTTTTTAACTGACACCAGCCAACTGCTTGGGAAAAGGTTTATTTTACCCAAGTGCCTATTCTTACCAAGCAGATTTTAGCAAAAATTCTTTCATACAGAATCAATGAATCCTGAATGTTGGTTTGGGAGCCATGGTGGCTCAGTGAGTAAGGCGCTGCCTCACTAACAAGGACGTTCATGATTTGATCCCGGTATTGGTCGAGAAAGTTTCACAAAATTTTCCAGCGTTTTCTTGTGTCAGTGGTGCAAGACAGAGAGTCTAGCATGAAACAGTGTCTAGTTGTTCGGTTGGGATCAAAAACAACAGTTTGTGTAATGTGTACACATTGGCATAAACATAAAAGAACCCAGCTGGAATTTGAAATAAGAGTAGGCTGTTGTGCCATTGTTCTGGCAAAATTTCCCTCATAGACCACTGCATGATGTATGTCTGTCTTCATTAACCCAGTTGGTGCAGAACAGCAGTAAGTTAAACACACAATTTTATTTCATTTGAATGTTGGATCATATAAGTGTTTTTTTAAAGGACAATATTGTTGTCGGGCATTATAACATATGTGATAGAACTGGGCTGAACTGGCTAAACATGTTCCAAATATAATTTTAACACAAAGATCATTGCTAGATAGATGCGTTGGGAAGCTTTCAAGAAAGGAAAATGATGAACGCAAAAGGAAAAAATGAGTTATCCTTCTATATAACTGACTGATGTGACGAGTGATAACATACACAGGCGAATTTCTGCTCACTAATAATTCCTTCCAAGACCAAAAGTTGTTATGTGAGGCTTCATAACGCATCTATCGAAGCAATGATCTCTGTGTTAAAATTATATTTGGAACATGTTTAACCAGTTCTATCACATAATTATGTGAAAATGACTGACACCAATATTGTCCTTTAATCCTTCAGGGTTAAACTGTTTACCCCAAATAATAGGATAGCAGAATACTTGAGACTAAAATGTATTGTGTTTTCTGTTCTTTGGACCTGTGCAATATCAGGGAGGAGTATTTAGCCTAGTGGGCAGCATTTCTACCTAGTCATTGAGTCTCTACCTAATTCCAAATGCCAATGATTCAATTACGTGCACTCCAGTGTAGTACACAGGTGGACATCCATTTTTTGTACCATCTGAAAAACTTGGCAACACTTTCTTTTCTTGTCAGTTCAGTAGGTGCTATATCAGTTTAAGAATCAGTTTACCACAAGGAAGAAAAGTTCTTTAACAGTGTATATTAACTTGGTAAAAATTGAAATTTTGAAACAAGAATTATCTTCATCAACGTGATTGCGCGTGCTGTTGGCCTATTTGGAAAGTCTAATATATAAATGTGGACTAAGAATAATGTTGTTTACGGAACCAGCTATCAAAAGTTTTATCTCAAATCGGCTTTAACAATCACTAGAAACTGTGTTGATTTTACAAAGTAAACAAAAATTGAAACATTACGTCCTATTGTACACTGATTACGCAATGGAAATTCTACCCTGCATTACCCCCAGACGAGAAATGAGTATAACCCAAGTCTTTAAAGTCGACTTGCTCCGTGTCAACTTCTAGTTTTTAGGTTTTAATCATGGCGAGTTGGGATTCACTACCCGGCTTTGCCCTTTTGTGTTTTATTTTAATTTTATGTACAAAAGCTCAAGTTTTAACGCCGCCTTATTTTAATTTAGCTCAAACAAGAAATATTACTGCATCGGCTACGTGTGGGGAAGATGTAGCCGGACCCGAACTTTTTTGTAGATTGACCGGTGCAACAAGTGACCATTTACGACGTGATGAAGGCGATCGGGAATTGATCCGTGGTCAGTTGTGTGATCATTGTAATAACCAAATCCCCGAATTAACACATAAAGTTGAATATGCTACTGATGGTACACAGAGATGGTGGCAGAGTCCCCCCTTGTCAAGAGGAACCCAATATAATAAAGTTAATCTTACTGTCAACTTGGGACAGGTAATATAAAAAGTTTATTACACTTTCAGAAAGTTTTTTGTTTGAGAATATTTTGTTCCGCTTTATGCAATGCATTATCTTGGAATCCTTTTATACACTATTTGTTGAACACACAAACTCGGCAACCTAGAAATAATTGTTGAAAACTTTCCTTTAAAAACGTGTAAATCACATGATGAAAGATATGATTAATAGAAAAGAATATCAAACATACACGTTTATTTTAGAAGGGGGTGGGGGGGGGGGGTGTGTGACTGCCAGTATTCTGGCATGCATATTTGTACATGTACATATGAAAACAGATGTAAATATTGTATGGTATATTTCCTAGAAAAGATAGAAAACTTTACTGTAGTCTCCATTTATTTACAGTATTTAATACCATAATATCTAATAAAGCAAAAGTAAAAGGAATTTATTAACCAATACCAAGGACATTCATGAATTTACATGAACATCCAATTTCCAGACAATTGTTGAAAGGTATATTCTTGAAATCTGCTGATTCAGGAATTTTTCATATCAAGAAATTATTTCTATCTTTTCTGATGATGTTATATTTCAAACATAAAGATTGATACGTTATTGGGTATGGTAGGTTAATGTACTTATAAATAACAATAATGTTATTACAGTATATGTATAAGATAAGTAATGGCCAGTATAAGTAGCTAGTTTATTGAAATTGTATTATCAGTATTTATTAGATGATTCAAGATAAGCAGTCCAAGTACACAGTGATGGATGGATTAAATGTACTGGAATTGATGATCATCTTACAGGTGTCACTAAAAATTATAAATGAAAAATGAGATTAAACCCCGGCCTTCCCATTCTCAGACAATTTCACTTTCACATAAATAGGACATTAGTTATCTTGGCATCTTATAATGGTTCTATTAATTCAATGATCAAAATATGTTAAGTATTCTGATGTGATTTATTTATTTCCACTCTGTAACACTATTTATATTGTGTATTACAAGTAGATTTTTCAATAACTCACCAGGATTATAGATATAAATCACACTTTAAATGATGTGATACATTTTTTTACTACCAGTATATCCTTCTTGGTGCCCCTGTTCATTCATAATGTTTTATCTTGCCGCCTTAGTCCCGAAAAGACCTAGTTTCTGTCAAGTGGACATTAAACCAGGTTTCTCTGTCTGTCTCTCTGTCGCTTGCCTTCTCTTACACTTTAATACATGTATTTTCTATTGGTTTGCTTTTACCAATTGAAATGTTTTCCTTTAAATAATTATAGTTTGTTGTAACAAGAACATGAAATTTGATTATTCAATAAGTAGTAGAAACATATTTGACATTTACAGATTGAAGGTGTTAGTTTGTGGCTTGTAGATGTAAAGACATAGGTCACTTCAAAATGCGAAAATATGAAAGGTGATTCTTGTGTATTGACATTATTGGCTGTGTAAATAGAAAGTCTAGTCTGTTGAAAGTATAATGTTCACATGTCCAGTGTGTTTGTTTCTGGCTACATTACATGTATTTACATGATTAGCTGATTTCAGACACAATAAGAGTTGAGACAAATTTGAGAATAAAAATATATAAATATACAGTATATTTTTGCACCATCATCTGTTTATTGCTAGTTATTTCAAATTTTTAGTGCTATAGAATGCCTTGCAAACTACAATATTGTGAAAGTTGAATCTCTAATAGAAATATCAGTCGAAAAATGGTTCAATTCTCTTCAGCATTTGATAAAATGAAAATTACAATGATCTATGCTGCTCCCTATGTAACAAGATGGCTGTCATCTTTATTTACCAAGAACCATATTGATGGGCCTGTTTTAAATCTGATTGAATCCAGTCCAGGAAATTATCTAGCGTTGGTATTTTAATTTTCTTTTCATAATTAAATGTTAAATAATCTTAGTGCATGTATAAGCGTTGATTAAGCCATGAGAAATCAAGTATATAGTTACTGATTCTACTTTTCAGCCCCTATCAATCCTGTTCAAAGTATCATTTGGATCTGCTTCAGAATTCAGGAACCATTTCCTATAGTAAAATTTTAATTTCTAGTTTGACTTTAAGATTTGTGTGAGAAACTATCAAATTAGCACATGTAAACACGCATGTATAAGTTACCATTGCATTTTGTATGAGATCTTCCTGAAATTTAGACTTCACTTTAAAATTATATCTGAGTTTTGGCTACCGGCTTTCATAACTAGGTTACAATAAGTTGGCACAATTTTGTAGAGTTTTGAGCTTATCTTGTCAACTTTATATCTACAGCCAGATCAGATTACATGGTTGCCATGGTAATACATCAGGAAGGCAGTTCTTCAAACCAACAGTCTTACTTCCTTACTTTAAATAGTTTCAAAAGTAGGACATCCGACTGAGTGAAAAGGAACTTGTTTGACCAACAGATGTTGTAATGGTCAGTTTTGACCATTAGCCCACCCATTGACCACAATGATAATAAATACCACATGTGAACTGACTGACATCAAAAGTAAAGAGAACAGGAAGATTTTGATTTCAGAATGTTGACCTAAGAGAAATGGTCAAGAAATTCTATGCTGATAATATGATCTTGCTAAACTGAAAAATGTACCACAGTGCCAGTATGTTATTTATAATGATTCCCAGGTGGCCCAGTTAATATAGATTCATTAAAACCTAGAATTTTAAGCATCAATTAATGAGTGTCCTTTTGATTAGGCAAAACCTTCAGTAATCCACCTCCCCAGCAAATAATAAATAATGTCAACTGATTTCATTTCATTTCCAATTAATCAAAAACAATGTAATTTCATGACTAAAAAGGGCTCTTTTGGGGCTTCTGAGCCTACCATACTCTCAGACTCCTTCTCAGTCCATCCCTGATATGACATTATTAGTTTCAAAATGACCCGAGTTGGCTGAGTATTCATAAATGTACATTCCATATCATAACTAATGTAAAAAAAAAAATGTTTGAGATAATGTATGAAATGTTAATAATGGTCTTTATTGAAATCTTTCTTATCTATTGTATTCCATTAAGTCCATCTTAATGTTATTAAAGACATAATTCTTTGAATTTATGCTTGTGTGTGTCGAGGACGACCTAAGTATTTAATAAGGCAATTAAAATTCTTCATACTTGCATATATAATGTTAATAGCCCATAATACAAATAAAATACTGTATCATGTTACACCAAACCTTAATATTTTCTTTGCTAATTTATGCAATCATCAAACAATCATGTCAGACATAAGGATATTCTGTTAGGTTAGCGACTTGATGGAGGCAGGGTTAATTCCCAGGTCAAACAGTAAAAGTTATATTTCATTTTAAAGAAATATAATATCTCTATAATTGTTTGTATTTCTTTCAAGATATAGTCCTTGGGGAAAAACTCAAAAAAATAACTGAAAATGTAACATTGCCAGGCGATGAATATAGATGCCCACTAGCATTTTTTAAGGATGGCTTTCAAATTTTTCTGTGAAAAATAAATTAAATGTGTGAATTTGAATTTCATTAAGGAAAAAATCTCAGAAACTCAGCTGTAACTTTGATAAGTTGATGGATGGAGGGGTGAGGACAGTATACTTGCACATGAAATGTGGATGAATAAAAACTGTACAGTATATTTGGATTTTGAGAAATTTGTCACTTTAATGTAAACTTTTAAAATATTTCTGTTGTTGACTAGTTTAGTGGTCAGATGTTCTTGAGATTAAAATGGACAATGGTTCTTTTCTGTTGTAAAGTTTGTATGTTGTCCATTAGTATTGGTAGTTCACCCCTGAATCTGTTGTGTTAATATAGAGACAAGCACTTGAAGTAACTCAATACTTGGCTGTACCAACAAGGTCTTTCAAGTATTCTACATGTACTACTGTTAAAGTAATAGAAGGAAAATGCTATACAACAGCTGTAAACTATTATATCATATATACACACAGGAAATATCATCCATAACTACATTTTATTCTTACTTCATTTCCTTTTTATACACTCATCACATTGAACTATTGTGTCTGCTTTTACCACAGTTTTTGAAAAAATATTAAAACAAATTTTAAAATATTATACTGCTTCATGAAAAGTCTAAAAACTGATTAATTTGCAAACTTAGAAAGTTAAATGATAATACCAAATTGTTATAGAGTTTCATTCTCTGTATATATGTCAGAGACAGTAGCAGATCTAGCAGCTCTGAATAGGGAGGGATAGAGGGAGAAAGACGTTTGTACATTTAAATTGGTTGTGGTTCTTCTAGTCTAAACTAAAAGACATTTGAATAGTTCAAGAGCATTCGGCTCTGTACATATTACAGATCAGTACATAATTGCTTGGGACTAGAATAAAGGGTTCTAAGATCTTTCCACATAGAATTAGTTAATTTTATTCTCAGAAAAAATCTTTGCTTCTTCTGTAAAAGGACACATGTGTAGACATAAAGCAGACATCTTCTCCTCATCAGAGCTATAAATTGTAGTTTTGATAAAAATTTGTAAAAGCGGATTCAATTACTGCTCTTCTATCAATATAAATTGGATATTTGCTGATGAATGTCTAAAATAGACCTATCTCTGCGTGAATTGTCATTGAACTTTTAATGTTGATCTTTGGTCTTGGTCTAAAATGATCTTCATTGTAATAAAATAGATTTGTTGTACATTTAATGGGTAGTTAAATTAGCAGTGTGTACCTAGGAGTCTGGTCAACTCTTTTGTTATATGGATTAACTTTAAGTCTGTAGTCTATGGTCAGTATGGATGATGAAGGGAGTTGAGCTTTATGTCAATGTTGCTGTTTATAGTTGAAATACCTACCACAGATATATGTTAGAGAAAGCACTGGGTTTGGGGGGTTTTTTCGTGAGAGGAAGTAATGGCTGTCGAAAGATAACTGTTTTGTTTATTTGGGGTTGTATTTTATTGAATAAAACTGTGTATAAAGTGTCAAGCAAAATATTGGAAAAAAATAATAGAAACTTTGTAGTAATTTCAATATCTATCT